CAAAATAAACAGTCACTAGAGTGAATTGGCAACCAACAGAATGGGAAAAAATTTTTGCAGTTTACCCATCTAACAAAGGGCTGATATCCAGAATTTACAAAAAACTCAAATAGATTTACAAGAAAAAAACAAACAAGCCCATTCAAAAATGGGCAAAGGATATGAACAGACACTTTACAAAAGAAGACATACATGAGGCCAACAAACATATGAAAAAATATTCATCATCACTGGTCATCAGAGAGATGCAAATCAAAACCACATTGAGATACCATCTCACGCCAGTTAGAATGGCGATCATTAAAAAGTCTGGAGACAACAGATGCTGGAGAGGATGTGGAGAAAAAGGAACACTTGTACACTGTTGGTGGGAGTGTAAATTCGTTCAACCATTGTGGAAGACAGTGTGGCGATTCCTCAAGGACCTAGAAATAGAAATTCCATTTGACCCAGCAATCCCATTACTGAGTATATATCCAAAGGACTATAAATCGTTCTAATATAAGGACACATGTATACAAATGTCCATTGCAGCACTGTTTACAATAGCAAAGACCTGGAACCAATCCAAATGCCCCTCAATGATGGACTGGACTGGGAAAGTGTGGCACATATACACCATGGAATATTATGCAGCAATCAAAAATGATGAGTTCGTGTCCTTTGTAGGGAACATGGATGAATCTGGAGAACATCATTCTCAGCAAACTGACACAAGAACAGAAAATGAAATACTGCATATTCTGACTAATAGGCGGATGATGAACAGTGAGAACACATGGACACAGGGAAGGGAGCACTACACACTGGGGTCTATTGGGGGGAATAGGGAAGGGACAGCGGCTGGGGGGAGGTGGGGAGGGATAGCATGGGGAGAAATGCCAAATGTGGGTGAAGGGGAGGAAGGCAGCAAAACACACTGCCACATGTGTACCTATGCAACTATCTTGCATGTTCTGCACATGTACCCCAAAACCTAAAATGCAATAAATAAAAAGAAAAGAATAAATAAATAAATAAAATAAACTCTCTATTCTGCTCCATTGGTCTATGTGTCTGTTTTTATGCCAGTACCATACTGCCACAGTGTTTTAATTACTATGGCTTTGTAATGCAGGCTGGTTGTTATTTTTATTGTTATAGTCACAAATTCCTATCCATAAATGCTGGGAAAGAGTGAATGATAAGTTGGCCTAATAAATATTGGCTAAAAGCTGCTGTTTCATGCTGGTAGATCTAACAAATACATCTTTTTTCTCTACTTTGAGAAAATTAATTCCATAGGAAGGCTGGGTGTAGTGGCTCACACCTATAATCCCAGCACTTTGGGAGGCTGACGCAGGAGGATCACTTGAGACCACAAGTTTAAGACCAGCTGGTCAACAGGCGAGACCCTATCTCTACTAAAAATACAAAAATTAGCTGGGTGTGGTGGTGCACACCTGTAATCCAGCTACTTAGGAGGCTGAGACACGAATCACTTGAACCGACGAGGTGGAGGTTGCAGTGAGCCAAGATTGAGCACTCCAGCCTGGGTAACAGAGTGAGACCCTATCTCCAAACAAACAAACAAGTAAACAAAATTAAGTTACTGACGTTGTTCTTTAACATAAACCTGACTGTATGACTTTCAGGTACGTGAGCTTGAGGTATTTTCTTCAAAACTACACATTGGGCTGGGCATGGTGGCTTACGCCTATAATCCCAGCACTTTGGGAGGTGGAGGTGGGTGGGTCACCTGAGGTCAGGAGTTCGAGACCAGCCTGGCCAAACATGGTGAAACCCTGCTTCTACTAAAAATACAAAAATTAGCTGGTTGTGGTGGTATGTGCCTGTAGTCCCTGCTACTTGGGAGGCTGAGGCAGGAGAATTGCTTTAACTTGGGAGGCAGAGGTTGCAGTGAGCTGAGATGGCGCCACTGCACTCCAGCTTGGGCAACAGAGAAACACTCCATCTCAAAAACAACAATAACAACAAAACAAAACTAAACTATGAAGACAAGCCATGATTCTGGTTTGAAGAAGAAAAAAGCTCATAAAAAGTTGCCCACAACTCATGATATTATTCAATCATATGTTTTTAGAGAGAAATGACTGCAATGCTAGGCCCTCTCCCTAGGTTTTAAAGATAACCTGAATAAAAACTTAGGAAAAAGTTTTAGCATAAATCCCCCCCCCCACTTTTTTTTGAGACATAGTCTTGCCCTTGTTGCTTAGGCTTGAGTGCAATGGCACAGTCTCGGCTCACTGCAGCCTCCGCCTCCCAGGTTCAAGAGATTCTCCCGCCTCAGCCTCTAGAGTAACTGGGATTACAGGCACCTGCCACCATGCCCAGCTAATTTTTGTATTTTTAGTAGAGAGAGGGTTTTGCCATGTTGGCCAGGCTGGTCTTGAACTCCTGACCTTGTGATCTGGGATTATAGGCCTGAGCCACTGCACCTGGCCTAATCTTGTATTTCTAAATGCTTTTTTTTTTTTTTTTTTTTGGGGGGGGGGGGAAGGCAGGAAGGAAGGGAAGAAGGACAGTAGGGAGGAAGGAAGGGATGAAGGAAGGAAGGAAGGGAGGAAGCGGGGAGGGAGGGAGGGAAGGGAAGAAAGGAAATCAAGCAATGAAAGAGACATTGCCGACCTGAATCTAGAGGTTTACAAGTTGATTTCTTTTTTTTTTGAGAGAAGGAAAGAAAAAAAGAAAACAAGTAAAGGAGAGGAAGAAAGAGGAAGAGAAAGAGGGAGAGTAAATGGAAATATTGCTTTATTTTGAAAAAAATTGGGTATTAATAATGGCCAATCAATGTTTTATTTAAACTAATGGGTAGGTGTGATGTGGTATTGACAAGAATGTATATTTTGTGTATTTGAAGTGGAGAGCTCTATAAATATCTATTAAGTTTACTTGTTCTGGATCTGAGTTCGAGTCCTTGATATCCTTATTAATTTTCTGTCTCATTGAATCTAAGTCTCCTATCTGGGTGTTAGGATCGTTAGCTCTTGTTGTTGCATTGATCCTTTTACCACTATATCTTTGTTGCTTTAAAATCTATTTTATCCGATACAAGAATTGCAACTCCTGCTTTTTATTTATTTATTATTTATTTTTGCTCTCCATTTGGTTGGTAAATCTTTCTCCATCCCTTTGTTTTGAGTCTTTGTGTATCCTTGCATGTGAAACAGGTCTGGATGTAACATGCCGTTGGGTTTTGGCTGTGTCTTTTGATTGGGAATTTAGTCAATTTAAATTTAGGGTTACTGCCATTTGATGTTGACTGGCTGTTTTATCCATGTGTTGGTGTAAATTCTTCTTTATGTTGGTGCTCTTTACTTTTTGGTGTATTTTTAGAAAGGCTAATACTGGTTGTTTCTTTCTGTGTGTAATGCTTCTTTCAGAAGCTCTTGTAAAGCAGGCCTGGTGGTAATAAAATCTCTGAGTTCTTGCTTGTTCATAAAAGATTTTATTTTTCCTTCAGTTGTGAAGCTTAGTTTGGCTGGATATGAAATTCTGGGCTGAAGGTTCTGTTCTTTGAGGATGTTGAATATTGGCCCCCACTCTCTTCTGGCCTGTAGAGTTTCTGCCGAGAGATCTGCTGTAAGTCTGATAGGCTTGCCCTTTGTGGGTTATCTGACCTTTCTCTCTGGCTGCCCTTAGTATCCTCTCCTTCGTTTCAACCCTGGTGAATCTAACGATTATGTGCCTTGGGGTTGCTCTTCTTGAGGAATATCTTTGTGGTGTTCTCTGTATTACCTGGGGTTGAATGTTGACCTGCTTTGCTAGTTTAGGAAAATTTTCCTGAATAATATCCTGAAGGGTATTTTCCAGCTTGGATTCATTCTCTCCGTCGCATTCAGGTACACCTATCAAACGTAAATTTGGTCTTTTCACATAGTCCCACATTTCTTGGAGACTTTGCTCATTCCTTTTTATCCTTTTTTCTCTAATCTTTTCTTCACGTTTTATTTCATTAAGTTGGACTTTGACCTCTGATATCCCTTCTTCTGCTTGAACAATTCGAGTGTTTAAACCTGTGCATACTTCTCGGAGTTCCTGTATTGTATTCTTCAGTTCCATTAATTCACTCATACTCCTCTCTAAGTTGTCTATTCTCAATAGGATTTCATCAAACCTTTTTTCAAAGTTCCTAGTTTCTTTACATTGGGCTACGACATGTTCTTTTAACTCACCGAAGTTTGTTATTATCCATTCCTTGAAGAGTGATTCTGTCATCAGGAGGCGCTCGTTCTCCATCAAGCCTTGTTCCATTGTTGATGTGGAACTGTGATCATCTTTAGAGGGAGAGGCGTTCTGACTTTGAGTATTCTCAGCTTTTTTACGCTGGTTTCTTCCCGTCATTGTAAATTTATCCTCCTGTCGTCTTTGAAATTACCAACTTTCAGATTAGGTCTCTTGAGTGGACGTCCAGGTTGTTAGTTCCCAGGGCCAGAGCAGCGGCGTTAAAACTGATGGTGCTTTTCTGCCCAGGATTTTCCTGTCGGGCTTCCTTCTTGTTTCCGTAGTAGGCGACTCTGCCTTCCCGGGGCTCCAAACCTCGGTCAGAAGGGGAAGCGGTCCCGTTTACTCTGCTCCGAGAGCTGCCGCGCCGAGGTGCCGGCGGAACCGCTGCGCCGACCACGAGAGTCGCGCTGGCGACCCGTGTGTTTCCACCACTGGGGGATCTTCTGCTCTGTGAGCGACCAGACTTTGTCTGAAAGTGTGGCGTCCTCTAGTTCTCCGCACCTTCCCTGAGAGCTGCAATCCCGGGATGTTAGCGATCGGCCATCTTGGATCGTTCTCCTCTAAATGCTTTTTATGTGATCCCTCAGCTAGTATGTGATCCACCAACATCACTGTTAGGAACACTTTGCACAGGTTAAGGAACAAAGAGTGTTACTAAAAATGGGATTTTATTATACCACTATCTATTTTTGTATGTTTGTAATTTTTTATAATATGAAACACACACTCAGAGTGATGAAAAGGAAAAACAGTAGCAAAATAGTTAAACTCACCACTTTAGAATTCTCTTTGTAACGAAAAGCCAGCTGGTAAGCTGCAAATACCAAAGGTGGCAATGTGAAGCGAATCCGCTGATTTCCACCAGCTCCAAAATGTTTTCGTGCTGTGTTCAAAATCTGATGTCAAGGAATTAAGGAAAAGAAATTCCAAACTATGATTAATCATTTGTAAAATAAATACGGGCTCTAACCAACATTGCTAACATTTTGTGACTATATACAATGTACCATACTTTAATGGTAGGCAATTTATATACTTCTTATCTCCTCAAGTTGTCACAACAACCCAAAGACAGATACAACCTGATTTCACAAATGGGGGAGACTGGGGTTCAGAGAGGTTGTATAACCTGCCCAAGATAGCGAGTTATAAGCAAAGATATATTTAAATATATTTCCACACAGACGTGTAAACTATGCTGCGCTGATAAAGAATGTAGACTCTGGCTGGGTGCAGTGACTCACATCTGTAATCCTAACACTTTGGAAGGCTGAAGGTGGGTGGGCAGGCCATTTGAGATCAGGAGTTCGAGACCAGCCTGGCTAACAGAGAAAGCCTGTCTCTGCTAAAAATACAAAAATTAGCTGGGTGTGGTGGCGCACATCTGTAATCCCAGCTACTCAGGAGGCTGAGGCAGAATTGCTTGAACCCAGGAGACGGAAGTTGCAGTAAACTGGGATCACACCACTGCACTCCACCTGGGTGACAGAGCAAGATTCCATCTCAGAAAAAAGAAAAGAAAAATAGGCTGTGAAAGAAAACTAGGCAGTGAAGACTGACTCAGAGATTCAAAGTAGATCCTAATACTTACTACATGTGTGGCCTTAGGCAATTATTTACCTTCTCTTAGCCACAAGTTGCTGTAAGCTCCTAAGGTTATTGGGAAGATCAAGTGACACATGTAAAGTGTTACCACTACTTAGCACAAGGCATATGCTCAGTAATGTAACTATTACTATGATATGAAACAACTATATGCATATTACCAGTACATCTCATACCTCCTCATTCAGAAAAATATTAAGACCATTTAAATAAAGGAAAATGCTAATATACTTTAGAAGAGCCACCTGTGAAATATTCCATAAATTCTATTTTTCTTAGAATTTTTTCTGAAATGGCACAACATATAGCCAATTCAGAAAAAATTACAAGAAAAACACACAGTTCATAAAATATTTTTAATATGCGTGACACAATGACATATTCAGATTTTGTGAAATTCTCTGATATGATAGATGGATAAGAAAATGAATTTCCCCTAGGGGCAGTGACAGTTAATGATCCTATCTTTAAAGATATCTATACATGGGAATAACCAATCAGTCACATGCAAAAGGTATACTTTCTTTACTTTTTTTTTCTGAGATGGAGTTTCACTCTTGTCCAGGCCGGAGTGCAAGGGTGCAATCTCAGCTCAGTGCCACCTCTGCTTTCCAAATTCAAGTGATTCTCCTGCCTTACCCTCCTGAGTACCTGGGATTATAGGTGCCCACCATGATGCCCAACTGCTACATTTGGTATGCAACGGAAAATGAAAACACACAGACACACCATCTCACAGAGAAACATAAGGGAATCAATTCAAATACTCAATCAGTCACTCTTCACAGATCACAGAGGTCGCAGAGCACAATACCACTGTCCTGGAATGTTTGTCACTAAGCCAAGACATAGATCATCACACTACCAACAGAAGTCAGCCTCTTATTTCACATTGAGCATGAAGATGTACAGGAACTACAATCAATAAGTCAACAGAAGATGAGAGACAGTCAGGACATCCTCAAGCAAGTGTCTTTTTCATCATAATAGCCTAACAGCCTTATGCATCCAAGAATGATTAAACTAATTTGCCCAAACAATCATTAAGCAGCCAACCATGCTAACCCTTCACTGAAATAAATTTACCTAGTATTGGTCACTGATATCCCTACTCAGGCAACGTTTATCCATTTCACAAAGATTCTCTGTGGACTAACAATAAAGAGAAAAACTCATGTGACTGACTGTTCTTTATCAGGTGAAAACAAGGAAAAGGCAAAACGAATTTTAAAATCATTCATCAAAAAAACAAAACTCAGGCAGGTGTGGTGGCTCATGCCTGTAATCCCAGCATGCAAAGGTGGGCGAATCACCATGTCAGGGGTTTGAGACCAGCCTGACCAATAATGGTGAAACCCTATCTCTATTAAAAATACAAACATCATGGGGAGAAATGCCAGACATAGTATGCACCCAAAGTTAAATAAATAAATTTTTTTAAAAATACAACCATTAGCCGAGTATGGTGGTGCGCACCTGTAATCCCAGCTACTCAGGAGGCTGAGGCAGAAGAATCACTTGAACCCAGGAGGCAGACGTTGCAGTGAGCTGAGATCGCACCACTGCACTCCAGCCTGGGCGACAGAGTGAGACTCCATTTCAAAAAAGAAAACAAGAAACGAAAAAAACCCCAAAACCTCACATTTTCAATGTGACGAATACAACTTATACTTGCAAAATTGGAAAAGTAAAATTATATATAAGGATTCTATTTCTTATTAAGTTTATTATAAGCAATATATAGTTCAGAAAAAAATGAACATGGAATAACTATGAGCACTCAAGTAAAAAAAGACAGACTTTCTTCAAATCTCAAATAGTCTGTAAAAGAAATCAGAGCAACTGAATTGTTACTCACGTGCTCCAGAAGTTTATTTTACAATTATGTGTTTATATATAAAGTAAAAGCCCATGGATGCCATGAATCTTTAATTCAGTTTCAATTCCTTCAAAACTTTCTAAGATCAGAAAGTGAATTAAACCATTTTAAGCACTTCAACATGTGATTTCATTAGGAGCTGATACAGGGTTATAGTAAGAGTAAACTCATACCAAGTACTGCTGGTCAGGGTCCTCAGAACGAAGCAGATGAATGAAGCGGCCCACAAGGCTCTGCTCATCAGCAAAGTCTTCTGGATCAGGGTCTTCCACAGGTTGATCTGGCTGATCTTGAATCAACGTGGATACCAAATTCATTATGGAATCCACCTGTAACATGCAAGGCAAAACAAACCCACTGACATGAAACCATTGGCATATAAAGCCATTGTCAAAAGTGTTTCTAGTCACATAAAATTACAATACAGTATCAACAAGATACTCCTTTTTTTGGTTAGAAGTCAATACATGGCTGGGCATGGTGGCTCATGCCTGTTAATCCCAGCACTTTGGGAGGCCAAAGCAGGCAGATCACAAGGTCAAGAGATCAAGACCATCCTGGCCAACATGGTGAAATCCTGTCTCTACTAAAAATACAAAAATTAGCCAGGCATGGTGGTGGGTGCCTGTAATCCCAGCTACTTGGGAGGCTGAGGCAGGAGAATCGCTTGAACCCAGGAGGCAGAGGTTGCAGTAAGCCAAGATCGCGCCACTGTACTCCAGCCTGACAACAGAGCAAGAGTCCGTCTCAAAAAAAAAAAAGATTAAGGCAATACACATGCATGTCATAGTACACATATTTATAAAAGTCGGGAAAGATATGCACAAAATGTTAATTAACAGTAGTTAATCTCTATCTGGTGAAATTATAAATATTTTATAATTCTTTATACATTTCCAATTTTCTCATTTATATAATGAATAAGTTACTTGTAAAATTTCTTTACTACTGAATTACCCTCCCCTCCCATCTGAGGTATCTGGGTCCAAAGTAAAACTGTAACAGTGTTTCCCTAAAATAGCACATAGATATTTTCTTACCTGGTCTTGAGAGACAATTTCTGTGTTATAATCCAGAACATTACTAAGCACATAACAACTCATGCTCTTTCTGGACTCATAGTCAAAGTACTCAAAGAGCGGGTGAAAATGTTTTAATTTCAAGACTGTTAAAATATTGTTATAAGTGTCAACTGGTATTTTCAAAAGTCTGGTGAGTTCCTTTGAAACTGCACTACTGGTAGCAATACTACAAAAAGAAAAACAGAAGTCTTAATGAATAAAATTAACTTTTTATATATACAAATAGCACTTGTTTCATAAGAATTTGAAATTTTTCATTACACATTAAGGGAAATGGGTCAAGTGAATCATACTACCCCAGAAGACTGTAACAATCTCCTTTCAAGAGGATAAAAATGCTTATCTAGGCCAGGTGCGGTGGCTCAAGCCTGTAATCCCAGCACTTTGGGAGGCCGAGGCGGGTGGATCAGAAGGTCAAGAGATCGAGACCATCCTGGTCAACATGGTGAAACCCTGTCTCAACTAAAAGTTAGCTGGGCATGGTGGCGCGTGCCTGTAATCCCAGCTACTCAGGAGGCTGAGGCAGGAGAATTGCCTGAACCCAGGAGGTGGAGGTTGCGGTGAGCTGAGATCGCGCCATTGCATTCCAGCCTGGGTAACAACAGCGAAACTCCGTCTCAAAAAAAAAAAAATGCTTATCTAAACACAAACGTGTACTCATCTATTACTATTCTGTTGATATAAAACTAGATACAATTTCCAACTCATGAACAGATGGAATAGCTGGAGTTAATAAGATGACTATCTAGAATTTGACAACATTTCTAAGAAAAGTATTTTAAGTGGTAGTTTGGTTCCCAGGGAGCAGCCAACAAGTATTGTATATTCACAATAAAAATAAGTAGGGAAAAATATCCATGCAAAACCAGCAATTCAACACAACAGAAAAATGCAAAAACTATTTATTCTGCATCAGATGGTGGTGATTAAGAAAAGGCAGGCTGACCTACTTTTAGGTAGTCATTAGTAAAAGCACTGTGTCTGAGGCATATCGGGCATTTATTACAACAACCTCTTTAGAGGTAGCAGTTTCTAATTATTTTGACTGTTTTTACTTTAAAATTTACTTGGGGAGAGAAGACATATATCATTTAGTTTTTTTAATTAAAATTTTTTTAATTTTTAATTTTTTTATTAGAGACAGGGTCTCCATATGTTGCCCAGGCTGGTCTCAAACTCCTGGCTCAAGTGATTCTCCCAACTCAAATAGCTGGGATTCTCCCAAATAGGTGGGATTAAAGGTGCAAGCCACTGCACCCAGCATATCATTTAATTTTCTCTCACTCTTATCATTCGCTATCTGGCCTTGTTTTCAGTTCACACACACAAAAACAAAAATGACCAAAAGAAAAAGAGTAATACAATGGGGGGAAAAAAAGAAGAAATTTTCTTGATGCAGGTAAACCACCGTGAGGGAGACAGAAAGGAGGAAGATTACATGAGCAAAATTCTGAAGAATATGCAGGGGATAGGGGGGTGGTGGGCCTGGCTTGACCCAAGTCCAGAGGAGTGGCGAATGAAGCAGGAAGGGAACTGCTGGGGAAAACAGTATCAGAGCTGCCCACAGTGGCCACTAAAGGATGCCACAGGTCTAAGACAGAACAGCTGAGGAGGCTTCAAGTTGGAGGCAGCACTGTTGATACTTTCCTTGAAGGTATCAAAATCAAAGCTCAAAATAGAAAAGATATTTAAACCAATTTAATTCTGCATGTTAAATATACACACGCCCTCATTTTTCACTATGTACTTACTTGTAGGAATACACTTATTACAGAAATAAATACTGCCTGACAATTTCCTTACCAGTTTAAGAACAAACTCATTCACACAGAGCAAGCTTGTCTAACTCGCTGCCCAAAGGCCACATGCAGCCCAGGATGGCTCTGAATGTGGCCCAACACAAATTCATAAACTTTCTTAAAACATTGAGTTTTTTTGTGACTTTTTTTTAAAGCTCATTAGCTATTGTAATTGTTAGTGTATTTTATGTGTGGCCCAAGAAAATTCTTCTTCAAATGTAGCCCAGGGAAGCCAAAAGAATGGATGCCCCTAGTACACAGAAAGGGATCCAAATTGAGAACACTGTTCCTTGAAGACTGCCTATGGTCCACAGGTACCACGATTTCATTAATACACAACCAAGTAATTGGTCGCCACTTTCTGCCCCTAGTAGTGCTAAGCATGACAGTCTTAATGCATGATTAAAACAAAACAAATGGCAGCATTTCAAAAAACAATTGAGAAAGAAAAGCAAATCTGAGAAAAAAATATCTTTATGAGGATTTTTACAAAAATGTAACTGACTTACTGTTCAAGGTTGAGCTTATTGAATATCTCCACTGTTGTTTCTAGAACTTTATCAACATAGTCCACACGATCAGGGTAACATTTCATGGCAAGATTAATGAGAGAGACTTGTAAAGATACAACATCCTCTGAAGGCATATCTTGTCTAGACTGGAATGTTTAGAAGAATCCAATTTATTTTAAAAAATTGTAAAAGGAAGGCAGAGAAGTTTCAAAGTTTTGAGAAATTCGGAGAAAAGCTACACAAACCTGTATCACTGTAGCCACCTGCTGTGAAAATATATCAAAAAGTTTAATATCTGGTGGGATTCCAGGTCCATCTTCACGGTGAGCAAATAAAGCTAATCTAAAAAAAAAAAAAACCCAAAAATTCTTTATTTTAAAAAATACAGGGTTTAGGCAGTGGGATCATGGATGACATCTTAATTGTTTATTGCTTTTCTTTATTTTATATGAGCCTAAAAGGTTTTAAAATTATAGTATAATTACATTAGGATCACTGATATGATAAAGATAAAACAGAAAGAACTCACAAAAATGTTTAAAATTCATTATCCCCAGGTCAGAGCATTTATCCTCCAGTGCTGGAAGGTCTTACCTATCAATTAAAGCGATGATTATGTTTTTCACATTTACATTCTGGTGTAACTCAGCACAGGCCCGAAGAAAAGGATTCAAAGTCTGGAGGTGAAATTCATCAGGGAAAACCTGAAAATCAAATGATCAATAAAAGTAAAAGTATTTCACATAATATTCAGAACTCACATATGGCATTTAAAGTTCACATTTGTGGGGAAAAAAAAAACACTTTAATCTTACACAACTAAATACAAATACATTACTTTTGAACCTCTCTAAACATAAGCTCAGACAGAAATATTCCAATAAACAAAGTGCACCTACAATTAAACTAAAGCTACTGAGATCTAGAAAATTCGGATTACTCATTCCTACATTTTGGGGGAAAACAAACTACATTTATACCAGGACCAAGTTATGAGTTGGAAACAGAAAAATTCTTTTTTTTTTTTTAAGAGATGGGGTTGCACCATGATGGCCAAGATGGTTTTGAATTCCTGACCTCAGGTGATCCACCCACCTCAGCCTCCCAAAGTGCTAGGATTACAGGCGTGAGCCACCATGCCTGGCAGAAAAATTCTTTTTTTAAAAAAAATTATTTTTAGAAGAAGAACAAATACATGAAAAAAAAGAAACATTAAAAAAATTATTTAAATTTTTAATAGAAATGGCATCTTGCTATGTTGCCCAGGCTGGTCTGAACTCTTGGCCTCAAGAGATCCTCCCACCTTGAACTCCCAAAGTGTTGGGAGTACAGGTGGGAGCCACCACATCCAGCCAGGAAAATTCTTTTTTCAGGAAAGCTTATTTCCTATTCCATCAAACTGTTTTCAAAACAATTAAATTTAATGAAAGATAAAATGGTTCCTTTAAAAAAAAAAAAATGTTCCCACCTACCTGAATAATACATTCCATGAGATATTCTTGAGCCAAAGCATCCCTACAGTTTACAACTTGCTCCAATATGCCAGTCAGAACAATCTAAAAGAGAAAAGAAACAAACATAAGGGTTAAAATGTGTTTTTAAAATCTTAAGCTGGCCAGGTGTGGTGGTTCACACCTATAATCCCAGCACTTTGGGAAGCCAAGATGGGCAGACCATGAGGTGAGGAGTTCAAGACCAGCCTGGCCAACATGGTGAAACCCTGTCTCTACTAAAAATACAAAAATTAGCTAGGCATGGTGGCACATGCCTGTTAATCCCAGATACTCAGGAGGCTGAGGCAGGAGAGCTGTCTGAACTCGGGAAATAGAGACTGCAGTGAGCTGAGAACTGCACCACTGCACCCCAGCCTGGGCAAAACGCAAGACTCCGTCTCAAAAATAAAAAAATTATTAAGCTATTCCCCTATTAACACATTTGAACTACTAACTTGAAAATCGTATTTGAAATCTTTCTCACCAAGACTTCACTTCTAAACTTTAAAAGCTTTTTTCTGAGACAAGGTCCTGTTCTGTTGCCCAGGCTGGAGTACAGTGGTGCACTACTCAATGCAATGTCCACCTCCTGGGCTCAAGCCATCCTCCAATCTCAAGCCTCTTGAGTAGCTGGGACTACAGGTACATTCCACCATGCCCAGGTAATTTTGGTACTTTTTTGTGGAGATGGGGTCTCCCTATGCTGCCTGGGATTATCTCAAACTCTTGGACTCAAGTGATCCATCTGCCTTGGCCTCTCAAAAGTGAGCTTTTTTTCTTCATGGTTTGTGCTTTTTTGTGTGTCCTCAGAAATCTTTGCCTAATCCTAGGTCATAAAGATTTCCTTTATGTTTTCTTCTCACAGTTTTAGGTTCTATATTTAGGTCTTGATCGATTTTTATGTTTTTTATATACGGTGTGAGGAATGGGTCAAGGTTCAGAGTTTTTTGTTTGCATGTAGATGTACGATTGCTCCAGAACCACTTGCTGAAAAGTTTGCCTTTGTACTTTTATCAAAAATAACTGATCATAAATATCTGGGTCTATTATGGATTGTCTATTCAGAGATCAGTAAATTGAGTTGCTGCTTGTTTTTACAAATAAAGTTTTACTGGAACACAGCCATACCATTCACTTCCATATTGTCTGTGGCTGCATTTGCACCATACCTGCAGTGTTACTAGTTACAGATCAAAGGTGTCCAATCTTTTGCGTTGAAGTAGAATTAAAAGAATTGTCTTGGGCCACACATAAAATACACTAAATGATAGCTGATGAGCTTTAAAAAAAAAAAAAAAAAAAAAAAGCAAAACGACTCATGTTCTAAAGCTCACAAATTTATGTTGGGCCTTGTTCAAGGCTGTCCTGGGCCACAGGTTGGACAAACTTGTACAGCATATGTCTTGCAAAGCCAAAAACCATTTATTAATCTGGTCCTTCATGGTAAAGTTTGCCATTCCCTGCTTTATCCTCCCCTCCCCCATTGATTTGTGTGTCTATCCTTTTCACCAATACCTCTCAGGATCTCACTGTAGCTTTAGAGTAAATTACAAATTCAGGTTGCTTGGGTCTTTCAATTTTGTTCTTCCTTTTCCAATTTGTTGTAGCTGTTCCAGGTTCTTTGCTTCTTCATATAAATGTTAGGATTTTGACTAAGATTACATAGGAGCTATATATCAATTTTTTAAAAAATGCTATCTTGACAATATTAAGTCTTCCAATCCACAAACACTGCACATACATCTTTCCATTTGTTTGGGTCTTCTTCAATAAAAGCAATTTTAAGGTGTTTTTCAATGTAATATTATATTTAAAAAATTCTGATTTTAAAAATCAGATTTCAGTTTATCTCAGAACATAAGAGGTAACAAATAAAAAGATATGAACCTGTTTGTAACGTTCCACATTTACACCTTCCAACTGACTGAGACGCACCAAATTTGTTCCCACTAAAATTCTCAGTTCTTGTCTTTCTCTTTCTCTTTTTTCTCTATCTCGGCTATGTCCCTGATGCTGCATTCGCACCCAAAGCTTGTTCATTTCTGCAAAGTTGAGCAGTACAAAATCCATGGAATCACTGATATCGCCAGTTGTTTCTTCGCTGCAAAGAAACAGAAAAGTCTTTACACAGTATTTATAGGACCAACTTACTACTATCCCTCTGCTTAGCGTATTTCCTTCTTATCGCTGTAGTATACCAACACTTTATTAAAAAAATATATATACTTTCAACTTCATTGGCTTAGTATTAAATCTCAAAGGGAACAGACTTTAGCGAAAAAAGTACCATGGAGAGGAAAGTATAAATTTAAAGCACAAATTACTATCCCCAACTCCCTAGCCTGGGCCAACTGGATTTGCTCTTATGGCAACTTCCTTAATTCAAAAAGCCCAGAAGGATGGGCATGGTGTCTCATGTTTGTAATTCCAGTGCTTTGGGAGGCCAAAGCAAGAATATTGCTTTAGACCAGGAGTTTAAAACCAGCCTGGACAACATAATGAGACCCCCTCCCTACAAACCAAAAACAAACACAAAAGGCTAAAAAATTTAACACTTATGGTTTACTGCTACCTATATCATTTTACTGTTCAATATTTTGTTTTTAATTGGAATGTAAGCTTTGTGAGGAAAGAGATCATGGATTTCCTGCTTTATTTTTCTATGTCTCCTAGAATGGAGACCTCAGTAGCTTTCAAAAATTTTCATTGATTGTCTAATTAAATGCTCAAAAACAGACAGTCAAAACGTAATGAAGCAAATTAACTTCATCAATTTCTCTACATTGTTAAATTTTTTATCTTTTCTGATCTGTTTAAACCATTGAATTGTACATCTTAGAAATAAATGAAAATATTTCTTAAAAAACCAAAATCTGTCAGGGCAAACTGAAAAATAAAAGATTAAACATTTTTTTTAAAAAGAAAATAAATGAATAAACTTTTTAAAACAATGAATGAAGTTCTTTAGTCTGGGGACCTGCCAAGTGAACAACTCACCCCACTGAAGACCACAGTTGGCTAACCATCTGCCCCTGCTGTGGGATAAAAGTACAGTAGACTTGGATGATGGAATATTGGTTACACAAGAGATGGGTATCTCTGAATGGCTTTTAATTTTTTCTTTTCTGGAGTTAATAGCTAACTTGAAACAGATAATTCAGATCATTTATATTCCAAGGTAACTAGCAGTCTATAAATTATAAAATCTGATAGACATTAAAGGAACAATTATGAAATCCAGCTAGCTCATACTTCATTATTTAATTACAAATTAAATTTCCAAATAAAACCCTCTTTAAAAGGTTGTATTTTCAAAAAATATTTAATGTAATGGAAAAATGCACAATTACATTAAATGAAATAAAAGCAGGTCCTAATAATCCAAAGATATATTTGCATAAGAGTGCATTTTAGATCACACCACATATACTCAGGAGTTCTATATTACAAAGGAAATCTATATACAAATACTACCCAAATGGCTGACTGGGTGGAAGAATTATTGATACTTATTTTCTTATTTCTGTGCATGTTTCCACACTTTTATACATTCTACAATGAAAGAAATATTGCAACAAAATCAAGAAAGAACATCACTTACTCTGTTGGCTCTCCTTCATCAGGTAAGATATTTCTGGTACACTGAAGAAGGTAATTTCGAAGAAACAGACCCCTCAAGGGATGCTGTACACCACGGCACATTTCTACCAAATCTTTCAAAATATCCTTCCTTGACTGAGGAAATGACTTGACATATACAACTCCAACTGTGATCAAAAGGTAACTAGGAGAATTATGAAGAAACACTGATTAGAAATAAAATATTCAAATCAAGAATTTGATTAGTTCCAAACACACTGAACAAAACATTAAGTAAACAAGGCAGAAACCATGTTGTTTTCTCCCCCATGACAATGAAAATATCTGATTTAAAATATAACCACTGACTAACCTCTAAAAATACCACACACATACACACTGTATACATACCAGATAGATACGACCTTTAAACATATTAGGAAGAGATTGTCATATTAATTTTTCTAACAGCCAAGACGTTAAACAAAATAGCATGTCCATTTTTTCTTATTTCCAAAATTCCTCAAATATCTATATAAAACATAAATCTAGTTACCCTAACACAAATCAGAGTATCTACCAAAATATTAATCTCAATTTGTTAAGAAATTACCCTTAAAACTTTTTTTAAGCAGATAATCATAAGGGACATAACATAAAGTGGGAAATATAGACACAAAAGTCCTACGACTTGCAATTACTTACAGCCTTGGGATAATGTTTCCAGCATACTGTACAAGTTCATAGAGATCTGCCACTTTTCTTCCTTTAGCAAACTCATCTGTCAGGTAGACCTCCAAGTAGTGCAGTTCATCAGAAATGGCCATATCTTTTAATTATGATTAAGGACTAAAAATAAAGATAAGTCAACCTAAGCAAAACTCTGAAACTTCTTGGAGTCATTATTAACTACTGGGCAGATACCTTAAGTTTTAGTCCTTTAAGAGAGTGTTCAGGCCAGGTGCAGTGGCTTACGCCTATAATCCCAGCACTTTGGGAGGTGAAGGCAGATGGATCATGAGGTCAGGAGTTCAAGATCAGTCTGGCCAATATGGTGAAACCCTGTCTCTATTAAAAATACAAATATTAGCCAGGCATGGTGGTGCATGCCTGTAGTCCCAGCTACTCAGGAGGCTGAGGGAGAAGAATCGCTTGAACCTGGGAGGCGGAGGTTGCAGTGAACTGAGAGAGCGCCACTGCACTCCAGCCTGGGCAACAGAGTGAGATTGTGTCTCAAAAAATATGAGAGAGTGTTCAAGTGAAAATAGAATTTTAGTTGGGCTTATCTTACTCTAACATAAGGGTTTTAAAGAACATGTGGTGAAGCAAAGCAGTAAATACAATGGTTATCTGTCAGACTGCTAATGGGTTTTGAAATGGCAAATGAGTAAATTCCTGTCCATTTGAGAGTGCTGCATAACAAAATCTAAGCATTAAAGAACCAACTGCCTCACAGCCTGAATATCCTTCATGAAGGGTCTGAAAATTGAGATGCACTGACAACACACTTAAACACATTTAAGCATAAGAAAGAAAGGAGTACTCTCAAAGCATTTTTCTCACTTAGCATATTTGCATGGAGGTGTGCCATGTGACTAAGATAATGAAGAATAAGATAACTCCAGAAAAACTTCATAAAGAACGAACGAAATTGCCTTATCAAGAAAAAGGTATGGTCCAAATATTTAGTCTTCAGCATTCAAAAGATACAAAGTTCATAGTAGCTCTTTGGTGATAACATAGAAGTCCGGAGTTCACCAAGCATATTAGACGCATGTTTTAGAGCATCCATAAGCTTGTTTTTGTCCTACAGAAATACCGAGAGAATAGATAAGAAGGCTTAATTTAAATAAACATTTATCTTGGTTGTACAAACTCTTTACATCAAGGACTTGTTACACAGTTTTAAAAGAATACAGCACTTAAATGATATAACCACATAAAAAAAATCAACTTTAGATAGTTTCACCTTGCCTTCTCTACTGAAAGGAAAAAGATGCATGATTCTTAGTAAGACTTACATATCTAGTACTGCAAGCTTCTTGACAGACTGCTAATCTTTTCAAGCTATAGAGACTAGGAAACTAGTCCATTAATCACAGTTTACCTGCAATCAAGAGAACCGGCATACCCATTCAGGTGAAGCAACATACTATCCTGACATGGCTTTGTCACAGGTTAAAGACTCTTCAGAGCTGTCTGAAATGACTATCCATGTTAAATTTGCTTTCCTCTTGCATTCCTCAAACCCTCCCAATGCCCATATGTTCCACTTAACTCAGAAATGCAGGCAATTCCTTGAGATAAGGGAAACACTATCCATATACAGAAAGAGAAAGAAGCAAGCAATAGCAAACCTATCTTCTCCATTCCAAGACATTGATTTTTCATTTCCAATTTGTTGGGAATGAAACCAATAAAAGATACGAGAGCATATTACTATGCTTTTTTAAAAACTTTAAGACATTTTACAAAGGTAAGATAGCATCATCTTCATCACGGTAACTTATAGCTTAAAGTACCAACCAATCCAGAGAATCGACAGTATATACACAGATAATCTCTTACTTTATCTTTCAGAATATGAAGATATAAATGTTAAGTATAATTTTTAAGCTAGCTTCTACAATGTATTCAAGAAATAAAGTTTTCAAAGTATTTAGAAAAAAAGCTGAATAATTCAAATGCAAAGCATTTAAATTCATTTAATATTTACTAAGTACCTACTATATGGTAAGTACTCCTCAGGTCTGAGGTATAGAACTAAGAAGGCTAGTAATTCTGGTCAGACACTGGTGTGGTAATAATACAGTAATACATAAATAAAAGGCAGGGTCTCTCGTTCTTTGGAGCTTGTATTCCAGTGGGGAAAACAGACAATCTCAAACCATAAATATACATGTGAGTAAACAGGGCTCTTTGTTGAAACTGCTCCACACAGAGCTTGAGAGAAATGAGACTGAAGACATGCTGGTGAAGATTAGATTTACCAGAAATAGTGGTGCCACCTAACTCTAGAAATCACTGCAGATACTTCCTTAGGAACACAGAGACTGTAACTGTGCCTCCCATATTTCCATTCTTACCAGGCATCTCTTCATTTGGAATGACTGGACCTTCACAGCCTGTATGGCTTCATCCAAGAGCTTTTCCTGCTCATCCTGAGGGGACTGCTGTGTTGTAGGCTGAAAAATAAAAAATTCCACTAACATCTTAAGCACATTCTTCTAGCAAATATGTTATTTCTATAGTTCTAGTCATAGTTCTTCTCCAAGATTGTCACAAAAGGATCACTCCAGCTCTGTACCTCAAACTATTTACCAATTATTGACAGCTGCTGCACACAGAGCTGTGCCCCATCACTGAAGTTAACAGAATAAGATTGACAAAGGAGAACAGTATGTGTACAAAGAATTGCCTCTCTGTCAGAAACTGACTCAACATTCTTGTAGTAGGCTGGCCTCAAAGAAACTTGCAGTGGTAGTTCATGGCTGTATTCTGCTAACACTCTTGAATCCAACCTGGACATAGCCATCCAACCAATCTAAGTCTTGTGGTAGGTATAGCCAAAACCAAATCTGTAAAGCCTCTTTTCCTCTAGACTACTTATCATCTGCATTTCAGTCTTAGACAGACTAAGGAACTAGTTTACGAGAACACTGACCAGCCCCTCCTTGGCATAACAAAAGACTAAACAGCTTAGAAATAAAATAGCTGAAATAGTGACTTTTAGTATAAAACGATAAAAAGCACTCTCTTCAAATAGTTTACACCATTTCAAACATACAGATCTATAACTACAGTGGACAAAATATATCTAGACACTCTTCTCCTCGCCATCAGCAAAAATCTGCTTGCAGAATCAATTCAATCTCCCTGCCAAGAAGAATTAACCACTTCTTCAAGTCATATAAACACTGTTTACATCTCCACCACAGCATGCATCACATTACCATTATAAATGGTCATTTTTACATCCTTGGGACCCAACACACTGCTTTAATACGTAATGGATGCTCCATAAATGCTCACTGCATAAATGAATACAATGGTTTTAGAATGTTTAGATATTTAACCAAAAAATGACTGAAGAATTAACACAGGATACACAAATTGTGGTATATATATCCAATTACAGAATATTAGCCATAAAATGGAATGAAGTATTGCTACATGCTACATAAACAAACCTAGAAAACATGCTAAATTAAAGAAGTTAGACATAAAAAGCCACATATTGTATGATTCCTCTTATATGAAATAGGAACAGAAAGTAGACTGATGATTACCAGGAGGAAGGTTGAGGGAAATAATTGCTCAATGGGTACTGAGTTTCTTTTGGGGGTAGGGAAAATGTTTTGAACCTAAAGGTGGTGATTGTACAATACTGTGAGCCTACTAAATGCCACTGAATTGTTCACTTTAAAATGGTTAATTTTATGTTATGTCATTTCACTTTGATTTTTTAAAACAATGACTAAAGACAAAATGACTTTCATATAATGAGCTGAAGAGGTGGAAGGCAAGGACTTATAATAAAGCTGCAAGTAAAATCTGGTCTGTTTCATTATCTAAGAAAAATCAAAACAACATGTCATTCTGAGATTAACAAAGAAATGTGAGTCACATAAAACCCACTTATGAATGAGAATAGTTTAAAAAATTGAAGTTCCAAAACTGTTCTAATTTTGGAAAGAGAAAAAGGTTAATTGAATAATAAGCAAGGCCATGCATCTCCCTTTCTTTTCTCATGACAAACTCTAGTAAACTGAGCTCTGTCACAAGCACTCTTCTTCAGAAGCATAAACAAATTTCAAAGAAACAGTTAGGTATCTTTTAAACTTCACTTAAAGGGAATATGAATTTATAAAATGCTGGTTTCAGAGGCAAGGATGACACCCGCATTTAAAGATTCTGACTGAATAAAATTTACTATTCAACATGGGCTAGTGATCTCTGAACGTTAGTGAAACCAAGCCATCATTTGGAATTTTTTTGGCTCCTTACCTCTGAATGCAATAGATTTAATAATAAATGGAATCAATGGATTTCATTAAGTTCAACTGATCCATTTAAACAGTGATATATCTGAAATTTTTTTCTTTTTTTATGATACATTTGGATATATTAATTAAAAATGACTTCCTATTGTGGTAAAATATACCTAAAATTTACCATTTTAATCACATTTAAATGTATAGTTCAGTGGCATTAAGTACATTCACATTATTATACAGTTACATCTATCTCTAGAACTTATCTTTACAAAAGCAAATGGAAACTGTACCCATTAAACTCCCATTCCAACCCCCCCGGCAATCCTACCTTCTTTCCTCTGAGTTTGACTACTCTATATACTTCATATAAGTGAAATCACATAACATTTTTCCTTCTGTGTCTCACTTATTTCATTGAGCATAATATATTCAATGTTCGTTCATCCATGTTGCAGTGTCAGAATATCCCTTTTTTTTCTGAGATGGAGTTTCACTCTTGTTGTCCAGGTTGGAGTACAATGGCGGGATCTCCGCTTACTGCAACCTCTGCCTCCTGGGTTCAAGTGATTCTCCTCCCTCAGCCTCCTGAATAGCTGGGATTACGGCGTGTGCCACCATGAACAGCTAATTTTTGTATTTTTAGTAGAGACAGGGTTTTGCCATGTTGGCAGGGCTGGTCTCAAACTCCTGATCTCAGGTGATCTGCCCACCTCAGCCTCCTAAAGAGCTGGGATTACAGCTGTGAGCCACTGCGACCTGCCAGAATTTCTCCTTTTAAAAATAGAATATTTCGTTATATATATATATACATACATACACACACACACACACACACACACACACACCATTCTGTTTATTCATAGACATGTGGGTCATTTCCACTTTTGGCTATTGTGTATGATAATTTTTATTACACAGCAAATGAAACTGTGGCTACAAAGAGGTTACAAACAGTTTCAAAAACATTTGTATAGAATGACTAGAAAGATTCAGAGTTTTGTAAACAAATGAATACAATTTTAGGAAAATTCTTCTATTTTGTCTCAACTGGGCTTAAAAAAGAAATGTAAATACAAAATGTTGACGATTACAGACTATGACTTATTACAAAGTAGTCTATAAATGAAGGCATAAAGCTGTAATAAAGCAATCTATTTTTACATATTACTCATAAAACAATGTATTAGGCTAGCAACAGCTATTCTAATGGATATTCTTGATGCCTTACTAGGAGGTGTTACACAAAGCCTTAAGAGTTACAATATGAACATGCTATCATTAAATACAAGTCAGGTAACCATTGTTTCCTCAATCATAAAGGTGGTTTTCCATTTGTAAATGACTGTACTTAAGAGCTACCTGGATCAGAAGAAAATGGAAACCCTACAGAATCAGGATCAAATTAACATTTGTGATTAGGCCCATTTTACCTTGAGACCACCAACAGCCCTCTCAAGTCTACAGTTATAAGGTGCAGAGCAAAGCAAAGGTCATCATGAACTGATCACTTGGAAAACTACTCTCCATTCAAACAATGTGCCTTTGTTTCCTCTTCTATAAAACAGAGATGAGAGTAGCTGCACCACTGTTATAAAGAACAAATTAAACCACACAAAGCTCGAAATGTGCCTACTGCTTAGCAATAAGCACTTAATAAATGCTACAATTATTATTATACATTTTTTCAGACGGAGTCTCGCTCTGTCGCCAGGCTAGAATGCAGTGACAAGAGCTCAGCTCACTGCAACCTCTGACTTCCTTGTTCAAGCAATTCTCCTGCCTCAGCCTCCGGTGTAGCTGGAATTACAGCCATGCGCCACCAAGCTCAGCTAATTTTTGTTTTGTTTTCTTTTTTTTGAGATGGAGTTTTGCTCTTTTGCCCAGGCTGGAATGCAACGGCCCGATCTCCGCCTTCTGGTTTCAAGTGATTCTTCTGCCTCAGCTTCCTGAGTAGCTGGGATTACAGGCGCCTGCCATCACACCCTGCTAATTTTTGTATTTTTGGTAGAGACGGGGGTTTTGCCATGTCGGCCAGGCTGGTCTCGAACTCCTGACCTCGTGATCCACCCACCTTGTCCTCCCAAAGTGCTGGGATTACAGGCGTGATCCACTGCGCCTGGCCAATTTTTGTATTATTAGTAGAGACGGGCTTTCAACACATTGGCCAGGATGTTCTTGATCTCCTGACCTTGTGATCGGCCTGCCTCAGCCTTCCAAAGTGCTGGGATTACAGGTGTGAGCCACTGTACAGGGCCTACAATTATTATTACATCCAGTTCAGATGCAAATAATTATCTCCACTTATGTTAGAAACCTATTACAGTTCAATCACCCTGCTCATATGCTGTAGATGTAATCTGACAATACAATGTAAACCAACTGTAAAACGAAAACTGATCTCTTCAAAGTACAGGATATCGTGTTAATGAAATAACTATTTAAAAAATTATGGCATGGCATATATTAACAACTGAAGCAGTGAGAAATAAGGACCAGAGTATGAGAATTTCAAAATCTAATTTGAACACCAAATGGCTCTAACTTCATTTACCAACCAATACATACCACCAAGAATCCTCTGATGGAGCACACTGAACATTCTGGCTTCATCTATTAGCAATAACTTTTCTTTCCACCTGGAGAATTTTGTCTACCCTCTACATAGGGTCAGTTCACGTGTAGCTTCCTGTAGTCCTTCCCAAAATCCCCAGGCAAAACTATCCCTCCATGACCCCAACGCACTGAGTATGCTAGTAAAGCAATCCACATACTGTATTACAATTAAATTCTATAAGCGTGTCTCCCCCAGTAGCCTCTTAAGTTCGAACATTAGTACCCAGCGCCACAGTCGGTGACACGGAAGGCACACAAGATGTTTGATGAATTTTAGTGGAATCTGGAACTTCCGGGCTGAGAAGGGCCAAAGGGACCAACGGGGCCAACAGTTGCATCCGGATGCAAAAGTACAACACCAAGAAGACTAAGTGATCTCCATAAATTATAAAAACTGTGAAAGAACAAATACTCAAGTTTCCTTTCCCAATAAAATTCATGAGGACAAGACTGTGTGTCTGGCTGATTGCTCCCAACTGGTTCACCCAACAAAGAGTTGGTTTGTAATACACCCTCAATTAAGTATTTTCCATTACAAAACAATATAAATGTCAATCCATAAATGCTGGGAAACACACAAATCCTAAAAAGTTAAATTTTTATGCCAGTCTTGTATCAATTCCCAGTTGCAAAAATTCTCAAAAGCAGGCAAAAATCACCTTGTACGGCAATATCTTATGTGAAAATAGTATTTGTAAAACATTTAATCCTTTCTGGCATTAAAACATTTAAAGTGAAATCTGTTTCCAGGCTTACAGATTTACAGAAGCCTGTCTACACAGAGTGGAGATAAAGCTGACATACAGTATACACTCAAAAATATTACTTACACAGTGCAGGCTACGTCAAATGCTAATAAAATACAAGTGACAACTTGCCTTTGTGAGAACGAAACACAAAGATTTGGTTTGAGGAAGTTCAAGTTTACCGGCCAACAGCCACACCAGGATTTACTGCCGTCATAGAGGGGCCCTAACGGAGAAGAACTGCTTCCAGCCAAATACTTGGATTTCATCAATGGAGAGACAAAAGACCCAACGTGCGCCCAATGCACAAATGCTAAAGGAAACAATCAGTCTCCTTTCCGATCGTCAGGATTACAAGACAGCCTGAGTCCTTCCAGGAAATTCACGTAAGCAGGTCCCCAGAACTCGCTGACAAACACTGCCATCGAAGGCGGGGTTGAGGTCAAGAAAGGCCAAGGAACCACTGCGACCCCTCCAGGAGGTCCTGTGGATAGCCGAGCACAACCGGGCACAAAGGTGGAAATGCAACATCTGGGCGGGTCCCGGCGCCACCTCCAAGCCTCAGGGCCTCCGCGCGCCGCGAGGGCCAGACGCTCAGACCTAGAGCAACGGGTCCCCTCGTGGCAGGCAGGTGGCCGATTCCACTGAGAGGAGGCCGCAGGCCTTCATGGACCCCAAAGCCTACAGGCCAAGTCACCCCCACAGAGAGGCCGCCCCGTCTCTGAGCAACGGCCGCAGCCAGGAGCCGCCGCCCACCCCGGCAGTCAGCCCGCCAGCGGCCTTCCTCCTCTGGTCCCCTAGCCCGCAGGCCAAGTCGGGCTGGTCTCCGTCCCAATAGGTCTCGGGGCCCCCTACTCCTCCCGCTGGGGCCTGGGGCGGTAGGAGAGAGCACGGGCTACAAGAAGGGCCGGCCCGGGTTCCGCTGCCCCCTCAGCACTCACCATGGCGACTCCCCAGAGCCTGCAGCAAGCGACACCCACCCCGCGCGCAGCCTCCCGCGGTCATGTGACACTGCGGCCCCTCCAAGCCCCGCCCTCTCTAGCCCCGCCTCCGGACCCTGCAGGCGGCTTCTCGATTGGCCTGCTTCTAGGAACCCAAGTCTCGCGTGTTTATTGGCTCTGGCTACTTAACGCTGGATGGACGGACCTGGGCGCCAGCCAATCTCACCACAGCGTGTGAGAATGGGTGGGGCAGTGCAGGGCAGTGGAGATCGGCCGGCGGCGGCAGACAGTAGACAGCAGGAGGGAAAGGCAGTGTATGATGAGTTTGTCAATAAAAAAGGAATGGGTGGCTGGGGAGCAGACAAGTCCACGCTCTCTGTATCTGCCTTGGCGAGTGCGCTCGTGACGCACATGCGCAAAAGGAAAACCCTGATTGGTTTGTGGGACGGTCTCAATCTGGTCCCAACTAATCCAGATGCGCCGGAGGTGGGGCCTAGCCCTCACTGGCTGGCACAGCGTCTGCGCGCGGGTTTCGTCGCCCCGCGGCGTTCGCCGGAGCTGATCGCTTTATTGGGGGCGGCATGGGGTCGGAGCTGATCGGCCGTCTAGCCCCGCGCTTAGGCCTAGCCGAGCCCGAAATGCTGAGGTGAGTTCGGCAGCGCAAGACCAGGGCGGGGCTTCCGCCTCGCAGCCCTGGACTCTCAGGCGAGGCCCGCGCCCTTCCTGGGCGACGGGCGGCGCGGGAGTGAAGAGGAGCGCTGGGGCTGGACGGGGTTTAGAACCTACTTCAAAAGAAACTTCCCGGCGGTGGGCTTGCATGAGGTGTCAAGAAGTGCGATGGCAGACGTCCCCGGGAACAGCCAGCCCTGTCTGTGGGTGGCACGATGGTAGGGAGAAGAACGAGCCTGGGAGAACTTCCGCTCATTCCGCTAATGCCTACTGCGGTCGAGGTTACAGCTGCGAACCTGGTATCGAGGCGCAGAGCCCCGTTGTCTGTAAAGGGCGAGGACTGTGTAGACCTTAAACCAGGTAATATGCCTGAGCCACCGGACTTGAGGTGGAGCGCGGCCTAGCGGAAAACTCGGGAAAGCAGGTTCGGTTCCCGCTGAGGCCGGATTAATGGAAGGTGCCGGGCGAGGGAAGCTGTGGCAAGAGCAGCCCAGGCAGGGACGACACCTGCAAAAGCCTTCGGATGGGAAGCGGGATGTGGAGTTCGAAATAAAGCCATTGTAGCTAAGACGTGGAGAGCAGGACCAGGCTCAGTGCTTCAACAGGCGAGCGAAGGCAAGGAAAAGAGTGCTTAAAAGATTTGAAGACACACCTGCAGGACTCGGTAGTCATTTAGAACAGTGGTTCTCAAAATGTGGTTCCTGGACCAGCAACAGCCGTATCATCTTGTCACTTGTTAGAAATACAAATTCTTGGGCCCCACCTCAAGCATACTGATCAGTCATTCAGCCTGGGACCCCGTAATTTGTTTTCACAAGCCCCAAAATGATTTTCGCATACGACGAAGTTTAAGAACTACTGATTTAAAGGAAATGGGGGGCGGGCGGAAGAGGAACCCTGGTCTAACCTGTCTGCTTCTGAAATAGTTCATGCTTGTTCCAGTAATGGAAGGAAGAAAGAATTTTTTTTGTTGTTGTTTTTTATCGAAATTTAACTTTTGCCTGAAAACGTTTGAGCACAGTGATGTTTGGAGTCAGTTCTGATTCTGTCTTCCTCTCTCCAGAGGATATGACCTTCATTCCCAGACCCAGAAAAATGTGCACTGGAGTTAGGCTTAGCCTGACATTCATCAGGCTGTAATTATTGTTTACTAAAATGTTGAGCAAACTTCTGAATAAGAGTTGTAGTTGACACACTGCCCTTTTAACCAGGAAAGCAGAGGAGTATTTGCGCCTGTCCCGGGTGAAGTGTGTCGGCCTTTCTGCACGCACCACGGAGACTAGCAGTGCAGTCATGTGCCTGGACCTTGCAGCTTCCTGGATGAAGTACCCCTTGGACAGGGTAAGTAGGTCCCACCGAATATCTGAATAATCCAGTGCAACACTGAAGCTCTTTTAACTTTTGGGTGAAATAAACCCCAGTTAAAACTCTTGTTTTGGACTTGTCCTGGCTATTCTTGTATAATTTCTGGAAATACTGTAGAATCATTTTGAGTTGGAAAAAAATTTTTTGCCACGTTTTTTTACTCTTCACTGTTTTCCCTGACCACCTCTTTCTCGGGAAGAGGCCATCTTCCACATTGCTGCTAGCATTATCCTCCTTTTAAAGCACGTCTTTCAAAACCCCTATGCCTTTCTTCTAATATCACAGTGCTTGAAAGAACAAGCTTTGGGGTCAGGAGGAGTTGCATATTGAGATTAAATCTCCACACTAGCTAGCTCTTTTAACCTCCAGTGTGCTCACCCATAAATTGAAGATAAAATATCCAATTTCGCTAGATTATTATGAGGTTAACAGTACTTGTATCATAATGATACATTTATTAAATGGTAATATTAAAAACATCGTTGTTGATTACCATCGAACTCTCCAGCCTCTCTTGAATCCTGGCCTCAAGCTACAGTATTCACATAACAGATTCTCCACTTCAATGATTTGCGGCTTTGTAAATGCAGTATCTTTTTTCCTGCGGTACTCTTCTGGTAGACTCCTATTTGTCTTACATGACCCTGCCTGATTGTTATATTCTTTATGAAACTTGCCTTAACTCCCAGGAAGAGCTAGTTTCCCACAGTGGATCCTCCTGTTTCCCTTCCTACTTTCTTTTTCCTCTTTCTCTCCTCCATAGACACACACACCTGCCCCCCACTCCACTCCCACTACTTCTTCCTTTTCCCAATAAATTACACATTAGCAGTTTTGTATAAACACAAGTAACCATATATGTATTTCCTGTGGTTTTTTACTACCTGTTTGACTATATTGTGTTACAATTTTAAATCATCTGTGCATAGGCATGACTGTCTTTGTGTAGTTTGAACTCTTTTTGAGAGCAGTACTTCCTCTGCCTGATGTAATTACTAATTTTTTGACTGAAGCTAAACCTTTAGGTGGAGTGACTTGCCACAAAATTAATTTTGAAAAGTTATACCACTTATTAAACAAGTGTTTAAGGGTACTAATATATAGAACTTAAGGTTTTTATAATTTGTGTATGTGTTTTTCCCTTCACAGGCTTATTTAATTAAACTTTCTGGTTTGAGCAAGAAGACATATCAGAGCTGTCTTAAATCTTTTGAGTGTTTACTAGGCCTCAATTCGAATATTGGAATAAGAGACCTAGCTGTACAGTTTAGCTGTACAGAAGCAGTGAACATGGCTTCAAAGATACTAAAAAGGTATGGGGCATAAAGAACCTTAATTACAAATGTATACCGATAGGCTGGGTGCAGTGGCTCATGCCTGTAATCCCCGCACTTTGGGAGGCCAAGACGGGCGGATCACATGGTCAGAAGTTCCAGACCAGCCTGGCCAACACGGTGAAACCCCATTTCTACTAAAAATACAAAAAATTAGCTGGGTGTGGTGGCACCCAGCTACTAGGGAGGCTGAGGCAGGAGAATTGCTTGAACCCAGGAGGTGGAGGTTGCAGTGAGCCAAGATCGTGCCATTGCATTCCAGCTTGTGCGACAGAGCAAGACTCTGTCTCGGGGGAAAATTAAAAAAAAAAAAAAATTTATACTGATAGATAAAGAAAAATTATCTACTGTCCTATTCTGGTTAATTTTCGGTCTTAAAAAAACAACTCATGTTAAAGTGACAGTGCACATATCTAGTGCATTTTAAAAGCTTGTAAGTTCTGGTTTGCACTTTCAGTCTCTTTTGAAATAATATTTTCTAACATAATTCTGCAATAACCTCTCCTTTAGCTATGAGTCCAGTCTTCCCCAGACACAGCATGTAGAACTTGACTTATCCAGGCCACTTTTCACTTCTGCTGCACTGCTGTCAGCATGCAAGTAAGTATTTCTTTAAACATTCAGAAAAGTTCCCAATTTACAAGTGGGTTTTTCATCCCCAAGGAATACTTCTAATTTGTTGATTTCAATTCAGAGCATATTTTCCCTATAAATATTAGGAATATTGGCCAAGTGACCATATTCCCAGTTTGTCACATAATGTAGCTAACAACTTGGAACTTGTGTTACCAGAATTCCACTAGCCAAATAGCAGCTGTATACATAAGCTGGGAATTCTGATTTCAGTTTGCCTTTTATAAAAGAAGGTATCTGTCATTAAAACAATGTTCTTGTGTAATTTTCTGCTTATATTTTTAAAAAGGTACTGGCTGGCGGGAGGCAGAGGTTGCAGTGAGCCAAGATTGCGCCACTGCACTCCAGCCTGGCGACAGCGAGACTCTGTCTCAAAACAAAAGAAAGGTACTAGCTGGGCCAGGCGTGGTGACTCCTACTTGTAATCCCAACACTTTGAAAAGCTGAGGCAGAAGGACTGCTTGAGGCATGAAGTTCAGGACTATCCTAGACAACATAGTGAGACTCCAATCTCTTTAAAAAAAAAAAAAGGGGCCAGGCGAGGTGGCTCATGCCTATAATCCCAACACTTTGGGAGGCCAAGGTGGGCGGATCACCTGAGGTTGGGAGGTCAAAACCAGCCTGACTGACATGGAGAAACCCTGTCTCTACCAAAACTGCAAAATTAGCCTAGCATGGTGGCTCATGCCTGTAATCTCAGCTACTCAGGAGGCTGAGGCAGAAGAATCACTTGAACCCGGGAGGTGGAGGTTGCAGTGAGCCTAGATTGTACCATTGCACTCCAGCCTGGGCAACAGAGCAAGACTCTGTCTCAAAAAATAAATAAATAAATAAACTTAGCTGAGTGTCAGCACATGCCTCCAGTTGTGGTTTCTCAACTACTCAGGAGGCTCAGGCTGAAGGCTCACTGGAGCCTGGGAGTTCTTGGTTAGAGTGAGCTATGGTCATACTACTGCACTGCAGCCTAGGCAACACAGCAACAGCCTGTCTCAAAAAAAAAAGTACTGGCCACAACTGTTCTTCAAGGAATTTATAGCATATTTCAGTGATAAATTCTCCCATCTGAATCTTAGAATTGTGGGTGATCTATATATACTGAAAAGTTACTTTGGAAATGTTAGTAATTACTGATAATCTTTGTCTAAAGTTGTCTTTTTTTTTTTTTTTTTGAGACGGAGTCTTGCTCTGTTGCACAGACTGGAGTGCAGTGGCGTGATCTCAGCTCACTGTGACCTCTGCCTCCTGGGTTTAAACAATTCTCTGCTTCAGCCTCCTGAGTAGCTGGGATTACAGGCGCATGCCACCATGCCCAGCTAATTTTTATATTCTTAGTAGAGACAGGGTTTCACCGTCTTGGCCAGGCTGGTCTTGAACTCCTGACCTCGTGATCCACCCACCTCGGCCTCTCAAAGTGCTGGGATTACAGGCGTGAGCCACTGCACCCAGTCAAGTTGTCTTATTTGTCTTGCCGGAAAACTCCTTAGAAAACAATGTAGTTCCCCCGAATGGATTTCTCACTACCTACCCACTAATTTTGGTATGTTGACTCTATTAGCTACATACCTAGGAGTATTAATTGGCATTTGTAGAAAACATCTCTTTCATTCAACAAAAGTGTGTGCATATAGGCAGGAAGTGTAGCTGTTATGGCAGAAAACAATAAGAATAGTCAACCCTACTTGTGAAACCATATCATACCAAGTAAAAAAAGGTCTTGACAGGTCTATTGTCCTGAAGAATAAGTTTATTTTGTGTTTTTAATTAGTGGTTGCTGTGGAGTGTTATTAGGAGAGTTCATTTTCAGGGTGGGATGGGGTTGTTACATCGCTGTAATATAAATAGAAATATCCTACGGGTTAAAATGAGTTGAACATTAAAAAGTCCTATGATTCTCATTCAGCAAATTAATCTGAGATTTACTAAAGAGTTGTAAAAGGCATGAAGCACTACAGCAAATGTCTTTTATGTGCCCCTTTTGTTATAAAACAGATCCCATGTGCATTTTAACTCAGTCCAATAAACAACTTAGCCAAATTTGCATGATTATAGATAATAACATGTTTGAATGAAGGAAAATCTAGACAGAGGCTCTTAAAGCATGGGCAAAAAAAATAAGTTAATTATCTGGTTGGCCAGAGAAGAAAACTGTACTGGTCTTGAGAAAAGCAACTTATGAAATTGTTTTGTAGGATTCTAAAGCTGAAAGTTGATAAAAACAAAATGGCAGCCACATCCGGTGTAAAAAAAGCTATATTTGATCGACTGTGTAAACAACTAGAGAAGATTGGACAGCAGATTGACGGTAAGTATTCTGTAGTTCAAGAATGTGTCGTTTGAAAATGTAGTACTTTTGCTTGTAAAAGTCAAGTATTTTCAAATGTAAACTGGCTGCTTCCTAAATTCTGTATTGCATGTGGACCAGGTATATTTTTAACGATCTTTCTAACCTATGATTCCATGAATCTGCCTGGAAAATAGATTCTCCATTAACATGTTCCCGTGTTAAATACCAGCCTCTAGATACATAAGCCAGGATAGAATTGATTCTCAAGTCTGACAAGAGAGGCCAAAAAGAAGAGAAATCTAAGATCATTTGTCTTCATGTCTTCATATTTTATCAGTTAAGATGTCTAATTTTATTTGTGATCCAAAACATGCCCAAATATTGAAATTGAGGATAGGAGAAAAATTAACCTTGATGACACCTTTTTTTTCCTTAAAGGAGAACCTGAAAATTTAGCTACTCCACCACAGAAGAAAAAGAAGATAGTGGTTGAACCCCCAGCAAAGGGTAAGTTTTACTAACACAGTACTGACATTGACATTTTATGCAGTACAGTCCAGTGGTGCCCTAGCAGCTTGCTGGAGAGGAATACAGTTTTAAGTAAATTCTGACTGTGAATCATTTGATAAGACCAGTTTTCCAAGCTATCAATAATGGAATTAACATAGGTATTAGGTAATTAAGAATATGGCTGGCCTGGCACAGTGGCTTATTCCCGTAATCCCAGCACTTTGAGAGGCTGAGGCGGGAGGATTGTTTGAGCCCAGGAGTTCGAGAGCGGCCTGGGCAGGTACAGTTAGATATTTGTCTTACCTGGGCATGGTCTGATAGGAAGTCCCTGGTTGGCTGTTTGTGATTGACTGGGATTATTTTTGTCTTTTGGAGGTTCTTTCCCCCAACAAAAAAAAAGTTATTAAGTTCCATTTTGCTTATAAGAGCTTTAACTACAGAGACAACCTCAGGCGAATGGCTGCCTTATTGTTTTAATACCACCTTATGGCTGTGTGATTTTTTTTTTTTTTTTTTTTTTTTGGGCGACAATGGCCTGGCTCTGTCACCCATGCTAGAGTGCAGTTGCATGATCTTGGTTCACTGCATCCTCCGCCTCCTGAGCTCAAACCATCCTCCCACCTCAGCCTCCTGAGTAGCTGGGACTCCAGGTGTGTGCCACTGCACCTGGCTTTTTTTTTTTTTTTTTTTTTTTTTTTTTGAGACAGAGTCTTGCTCTGTCACCCAGGCTGGAGTGCAATGGTGCCATCTCAGCTCACTGCAACCTCCATCTCCCAAGTTCAAGCGATTCTCTGCCTCAGCCTCCTGGGATTACAGGTGCCTGCCATCATGCCAGCTAGTAATATTTTATTTGTATTTTTAGTAGAGTCTGGGTTTCACCATCTTGACCAGGCTGGTCTTGAACTTTTGACCTCGTGATCCACCTGCCTCAGCCTCCCAAAATGCTGGGATTACAGGTATGAGCCACCTTGCCCAGCACACATGGCTAATTTTTGTATTTTTGGTAGAGATGGGGTCTCACTGTTGCCCAGGCTGGTCTTGAACTTCTGGGCTCAAGTGATCCGCCCCCCTTGGCCTCCCAAAGTGCTGGGATTACAGGCTTGAACCACTACGCCTGGCCACTGGCTATATGATTCTAAGAAAGTCTGTAATTTCTGTGAGCCTCAATTTCCTGATCTATAAAATGTGATTAATATTCTTACCTATTATGGAGTATAGTAGGGGTTAAATGAAATAAGGCTATTTAAAGTACTTTGTTCTGTGCCTATCAAGCACCAGTTAAGTGCTTGATAGATGTTAGTGATTACTAGATGTCTTGGAATGCTTGGAGTGTAAGTGAGAGAAAACAGTGATAGCTAAACTAGGCATGGTAGTGTGAGCCTATAATCCCAGCCACAGTCCCAGCTGCCCGGGAGGTGGAGGTTGGAGAATCAGTTGAACCTAGGAGTTTGAGTCCAGCCTGAGCAACATTGCAAGACCCCATCTCAAAAAAAAAAGTGGTAACTGCTGTTTCTCCACTTCATTTCAGTGTCTTATTTACTACTATTTTCTTAAAGTAGACAATTTAAATAAGTTTACCTTTCTAAAATTTCATTTCTAAGCATAACAATTTTGAAATTGCCTTTGGTAATTTTCTCTCAGAAATGAAGGTAGAGGAGATGGCACATAAACCACAGAAAGAAGAAGATCTGACACAGGATTATGAAGAATGGAAAAGAAAAATTTTAGAAAATGCTGCCAATGCTCAAAAGGCTACAGCAGAGTGATTTCAGTTTCCAGACTGGTGTGCATTGCAAACAGATAGTACATTGCCACCTCCAGGAAGGCTTGAGGGCTTTGGAATTTTGTTTAAATTTTTTTTTTTTTTTTTTTTTTTTGAGATGGAGTCTCCCTCGGTCGCCCAGGTTGGAACTTAATGGCGCAATCCTGGCTCCCTGCAACCTCTGCCTCTCTAGTTCAAGCAATTCTCCTGCTCCTTAGTAGCTGGGATTACAGCGCCTGCCACCATGCCTGGCTAATTTTCGTATCTTTAGTAGAGAACGGGGTTTTACCATATTGGTCAGGCTGGTCTCAAACTCCTCACCTTGTGATCCACCTGCCTCGGCCTCCCAAAGTGCTGGGATTACAGGCGTAAGCCACCACACCTGGCCTTGTTTAAACTTTTATAACAAGGATCCTAAGACTATTTCCTTAATAGCAAAGCAGCCTGCCCGGAGGCTGAGTCTGGGCAATGGGCTGGTCCCTGGTGTGGGCAACATCAGTGCCTGATTGGTATAGCTTCATGCACTCTCCTACAAAATGGAATTGGAAGCCCGGTGCAGTGGCTCACTTTGGGAGGCCAAGGTGGGTGGATCACCTGAGATCAGGAGTTCGAGACCAGCCTAGCCAACATGGAAAAACCCTGTTTCTACTAAAAATACAAAATTTAGCTAGGTGTAGTGGTGCATGCCTGTAATCCTAGCTCCTCAGGAGCCTGAGACAGGAGCATCACTTGAACCCGGGAGGCAGAGGTTGCAGTGAGCTGAGATCGCGCTACTGCACTCCAGCCTAGGCGACAGAGTGAGACTCCATCAAACAAACAAATAAATAAATAAATAAATGGAATTGGAGCCATTTTGCTTTGTTTCAAGTGAATGGCTGTCCCTTGTCTTATTCAGAATATAACATTCAGTCTTAATGGCCTTGCACAGATTTTACTTCACTTTTTGTGTGAGATATTTTTTATTTGACTGAATCAATATATTGTACAGCCTAAGTTAATAAATGTTATTTGTATATGCATTCAAGTTGTACTTGTCATCAGTTTGGCAGAATCCTCCTTATGCTATAAACTATGTCTAACAGGAAAAAACCCAGGTTCCTGTCCACTGAGCCACACTGCCCACCAGACCACAAACTCAAATCAGACTTCCTGGGTTTGAATCTCTGCTCAGCCATTTACACCTGTGAAACCTTTAGCAAATTAATTAACTTCTTTATGCCTCATCTATAAAGTAGCAGTAGAAATGGTACCACCTCATAGATAATGCAGAAGAGTATCTGAGCCAATACATGTAAAGTATTTAGCACAGTACCTGCTATGAATAAGTATTTAGAAAATATCAGAATAGGGCCGGGCACGGTGGCTCAAGCCTGTAATCCCAGCACTTTGGGAGGCTGAGGCGGGTGGATCACGAGGTCAAGAGATCGAGACCATCCTGGTCAACATGGTGAAACCCCGTCTCTACTAAAAATACAAAAAAAAAAATTAGCTGGGCATGGTGGCGCGTACCTGTAATCCCAGCTACTCGGGAGGCTGAGGCAGGAGAATTGCCTGAACCCAGGAGGCAGTGGTTGCGGTGAGCCGAGATCGCACCATTGCACTCCAGCCTGGGTAACAAGAGCGAAACTCCGTCTCAAAAAAAAGAAAATATCAGAATAGAGAAAATCTCACATCTGGAGGTCTTTTAATGAATTAAACATTAGCACCTTTTTATAAAATCAAGATTTAAACAAACTATCTACACATTGAAAAATGTAACCTTAGTAAATACTACTTATTTTAAGACTATGGAAAAGGACCTTTTCATGGATGGTAAGAAGTTGCTAAAGGCATCATGCCAGACATGATTTTAACTAAAATTAAGAATATATGATAAAATTAAATATTTCCATGGTAAAGCAATTGCATCCAAATGTTTAAAATCTACTTAGAATTGCATCAGTAGTAATAGTGGTTTCCTTTTTTCTGCTACCGGTAATGAATAATACCTGCTACATAGACCTAGAATGACTAAGGGTGATATCTTTTTTTTTTCCCCTACCTTTTTTAGTTTTAGAACTTTAGCAGACTAAGGCTAAAAAAATACCACAATGAAATGATCCCAACATAAGCATGTCTGGCAAGGCCTGTGGTATTGGGGAATGAACAGGAGTTTGGAACCACACACAATCCGGTTTAAATTCTGGCTCTGCCACTTCTCCCCTAAAAAAAGCCCAAAACCTTACAGAGCCTAAGATTTCCTACTTATAAAATAGAAAAGCTAGGTACAGTGGCCTGCACCTACAGTCACAGCTACTCAGGGGCCAAGGCAGGAAGATCACTTGAGCCAGAGTTTAAGTGTAGCATGCTGTGATCACACCTGTGAATAGCCACTGCACTCCAGCCAGGGCAAACATAGGGAGAACCCATCTCTTTAAAAAAAAAAAAAAAAAAAGCTAAAATAGAAATACCAGCCTCGTAAGGATTAAAGGTACTATAGTATTTGTGAAGTACATGGCATTTAGATGGCATTCACTAAATAGCTTTTGTTAATGGCTTTGATCCAAAATTAATCTTCCTCATTTATTGAGAAGGTATGTAATATGAGACCCATCACAGTGGCTCACCCCTGTAATCCTAGCACTTTGGGGGACTGAGGCTGGCAGATTGCTTGAGCTCAGGAGTTCAAGACCAGCCTGGGCAACATGGCGAAACCTCATCTCTAGTAAAGATACAAAAAATTAGCCGGACGGATGGCACATGACTTTAAATTTAAATTTTAAATTTAAATCTTAGCTATTTGGGAGGCTGAAGCACGAGAATTGTTTGCACCCAGGAGGCAGAGGTGTAGTGAGCTGAGATTGTGCTAGAGCACTCCAGCTTGGGTGACAGAATGAGACTGTCTCAAAAACAAAAACAAAGCAAAAAAGAAGGTATGTAATTTGTTATTTGGTGCCAAGACTTAAATTTCTAGCTTTGGATCAAAAGCAATGTACTTATCACACTGTAAAATTAAGCACATTCACTTTCTTTAAAATTGTAATAAAATGTATATAACAAAATATACTTAATCTTTTTAAAGTGTATATGGGTAAGTATTATATAGTCACTTTGTTTTGCAAGCAGTCTCCAGAATTTTTTTCATCTTGCAAAACTGACTTACGATTAAACAACTCCCCATTCCTCCCCGAGTCCCCTGACAACCACCACTGTACTTTCTCTCTCTGAATTTGCCTAAGGATTCATGTAAGTGGAATCACAGTATTTGTCTTTGTGACTGGCTTTTTTTACTTAATATAATGTCCTCGAGATTCATCCATGTTATAAATGTTAGAATTTCCTTCCTTTTTAAAGCTGAATAATATTCAGTTGTATATACCACATTTTGTTTATTCATCCATCAGTGGGACACTTGGGTTGCTTCCTCTTGGCTGTTAAGAATAATGCTGCTATGTACATGGGTGTACAAATATTGTTTGGGGACCCTGCTTTCAGTTCTTTGGGGTATACACCAGAAATTGGATTACTAGATCATATGGTAATTCGATTTTTATTTTCACTGATTGATTGATTGATTTTTTGAGACAGGAGTCTCACTCTGTCACCCAGGCTGGAGTGTAGTGACACGATCTCAGTTCACTGTAAACTCTGCCTCCTGAATTCAAGCAATTAATTCTGCCTCAGCCTCCTGAGTAGCTGGGATTACAGGCACGTGCAACCATGCCTAGCTAATGTTTTCATTTTTAGTAGAGACAGGGTTTTGTCATGTTGGCTAGGCTGGTCTTGAACTCCTGACCTCAAGTGATCCACCTGCCTTGGCCTCCCAATGTTGGGATTACAGGCATGAGCCACTATGCTCGACCTCTATTTTTAAATTTTCGAGGAACTCCCGTAGTGTCTGTAACTGTACCATATTACATTCCCACCCACAGTTCATAAGGATTCCAATTTCTCTACATCCTTGCCAACACTTGTTATTTTCTAGTTTTTCTTTCTTTTTTCTTTTTAATAGTAGCTATCCTAATGAGTGTAAGGTGTTATTGTGGTTTTGATTTGCTTTTCCCTAATGATTAGGGAAAAGATGTTGGGCATCTCTTCATGGACTTGAATAGACATTGTTTAAGAAAATATACAAACAGCTAATATTTTGGCCCTTTTTGAATCAGGCTGTTTGGTTTTTGTTATTAGGTATTAACCCTTATCAGATATGATTGGCAAATATTTTCTCCCATTTTTTAGATTTCCTTTCACTCTGTTGATTATGGCCTTTGATGCATAAAAGCTTTTAATTTTGATGTAATCCAATTTATTTTTATTTCTGTGGCCTGTACTCTTGCTGCCATATCCAAGAAATCATTGCCAAATACAATGTCATGAAGCTTTTCCCCTATGTTTTCTTCTAAGAGCTAAATGGTTTTAGCGCTTATATTTAGGTCTTTAATCCATTTTGAGTTATTAGGCACATTCACTATTAAATTACCCTATTAAAATGTGATTCTGATAAATCTAAAATTTCTGAGCCTTGTTTAAATACCATAGGAGAATAAATATAAGTAGTATTGCCTGTTCGTTTTTTTCTTTATGCTATGAAAGCAAGTAATGGTAATTATTTTTATTATTTGGAATAGAATATATACTTAGTTATTTTTTAAATTAGCTGAGGAGTGAAGGAATTAAAGCAGTCTTGCCCAAATGCCCTCCTAGGAAGCCTTTCTACAGTTTTCCAACACAATTACAATACCATTGCTGTGATGGTTAATACTATCAACTTGATTAGATGGAAGGATACAAAGTATTGATCCTGCCTGTGTCTGTGAGGGTGTTGCCAAAAGAGATTAACATTTGAGTCTGGACTGAGAAAGGTAGATCTACCCTTAGTCTGGTGGACACCATCTAGTCAGCTGCCAGTGAATATAAAGCAGGCAGAAAAACATGAAAAGGAGAGACTGGCCTAGCCTCTCAGCCTACATCTTTGTCCCATGCTGGATGCTTCCTGCCCTCGAATGTCAGACTTCAAGTTCTTCCATTTTGAGACTTGGAATCCCAGCTACTCAGGAGGCTGAGTCAGGAGAATTGCTTGAACCCAGGAGGCAGAGGTTGCAGTGAGCTGAGATCATGCCACTGCACTCCAGCCTGGTGACAGAGCAAGACTCCCATCTCAAAAAGAAAAAAAAGTAATACATGCTCATTGTAAGGGAAAAAAAAGATTCAAAGGGTTCAGAAAGAAAAATAAAAAGTGGAATTCCCCTTCTCCCAATCACCCACTTTTCACACTCCACTGTTAAGTTTCTTGCATATCCTACAGTATTTTTAATGTATATGTAAGCATATGTCTCTTCGTAAGTGGGATGATACCATATATACATTTTATAATTTTTTAAGGAAAGATGGCTTTCAGTATATCTAGATTTATCTGTGACAGCTGCAAGGTGTTATGGATGTGGCAAAATTCGTTCAACAAAACCCAAACAAATAGGCATATGTTGGTTGTTTCTTTTGGTCCATTAGCAATAGTGCTATAGTAAACATATAGTAAACATAATTTTGCATAAATCTCCATACAGTTGTTTAAGTGTGGAAGGATAAATTTCTAGAAATAAAATTGCTGGATGAAAGAAAGCATGGGCATGACTTTTATTTGGATACATATCCATCAAAAGTCGGAGAATGCCATTTTCCCCACACCCTCACCAATTCTTCACCAGTCTGAAAGGTGAAAAAAGTGGGCCCCAATTACCTTTTAGAGTTTCTCTGCCCAGCATTTTCCAGTGACTGTACATGCAAATGGAAAAGTCCCATTAGAAATAGTTGGCCCAACACAATTGCAATCAAATGTTTGAGCTAAGTAAGTACACACCAGCAAAGTACTAAAAATATCCAGAAAAACTCAAGCTTCATAAAACCAAATTTCAGATCAGGGATACTAAAATCCACATAGCTCACTTGTGTGACCCTGGCATAAACAGACCTTCAAATTAACTTTGGAGGGAAATCATTTCTCTAGGTAAGGAATAACAGCATAAAGGGAAAAAATAAAATAAAATGGATACAGGATTCTCTCTAGATCTGCCCTGTCCAATATATGCCACTAACCACATGTGGCTATTAAACATTTAAAATGTGGCTAGTGCAACTGCAGAACTGAATTTCTAATTTTATTTAATTTTAATACTGGTAAGAGTAGATACTTCAGTTGCTGGAAAACTTACGTATATTTCAAACAACTTGAGTATGTAAATATATTTTTCCACAGTAAGTTTTGGGAAATCTAAATACAGATTATGTCTGATGGAAACCTAGCAACTGAATTGACAGTTTGGTTTTTTTGTCCCCTCCGGAGGTTTGTTTTTTTTTCCCCTGGAAGCAAAGTTTTGCTCTGCCATCCAGGCTGGAGTGCAGTGGTGTGATCTCAGCTGACTGCAACCTCCGCCTCCTGTTTTAAGTGTTTCTTGTACCTTAGCCTCCCACGTAGCTGGGATTACAGGTGTTGTGCCACCATGCCCAGCTAATTTTTGTATTTTTAGATATGGGGTTTCACTGTGTTGGCCAGGCTGGTCTCTGACTCCTGGCCTCAAGCAGTCTACCCACCTCAGCCTCCCACAGTGCTGGGATTACAGATGTGAGCCACCACGCCCAGCCTTGATATGTGTTTTTAAACGTAAAATATATCAGATTTTGGAGACTTAGTATGAAAAAAATATATAAAATACCTCAATTTTTTTGTTTGTTTGTTTGAGGTAGAGTTTTGCTTATCACCCAGGCTGAGTTCAGTGGTGCCATCTTAGCTCACTGTAATCTCCACCTCCTGGGTTCAAGTGATTTTCCTGCCTCAGCCTCCCTAGTAGCTGGTAAAATATCTCAATATTTTATATTGATTACATATTGAAATTTTAAAAATACATTGTTATATAAATTGTTAAAATTGATTTTCAATGGGTTTTGTTAGAGAAGCTACTAGAAAGTTTTTTAATTACGTGTATAGCCTGTATTATATTTTTGCTGGGCAGTGCTGCTCTAGATATGGTAATTAACTACCTTTTTCTGGGGGGAGATGATTCATAGCATTCCCCAGAATCTTAAGTCTGAAAGAAGGTATGAACCATAATAGAACTACAAAATATACTCTAGCTCCTTCTGGAGGCTGCACTCAAAAAACCTTTTAAAGAAAGATAACTGAAAATAAGACGTTTTACCAAATCACTGTCTCATCAAAGGACAGCTTCCAACAGCTGTTTTCTGATGTCCATTCTTCAGCTGACCAACTTGGAGCAGACCTAGACTTGCTAGTACTGAAACTCTTAGTTCCCAACAAGGGTTAGCCTTGCAGAGGAAACTTAACAACTTGAGAACTGCAGCAGCAGGATAACGTCTCCACCTGCCTACCTCTCTGTCAAAAAACAAAAAAGAGAGAGAGCCTCTGTTATGGGACAAAAGTTCTGAAAGGTGGTGAACCTGTTGCATGTCTGATTAAAATCTAAAAGTCACTACATTGACTAAAGCTGCTCACCCAAGGCTGAGCATGGTAGCTCATGCCTGTAATCCCAGCACTTTGGGAAGCCAAGGCAGGTGGATCACCTGAGGTCAGGAGTTCAAAACCAGCCTGGCCAACATGGTGAAACCCCATCTCTACTAAAAATACAAAATTTAGCTGGGCGTGGTGGCACATGCCTGTAATCCCAACTATTTGGGAGGCTGAGGCACAAGATTTCTTGAACCTGGGAGGCAGAGGTTGCAGTGAGCAAAGAATGCATTCCAGCCTGGGCGACAAGCAAGACTCTCTCTCAAAAAATCAAATAAAATTGCTCACCAAGAAAAAAATGGGAATAGCACAAAAATCATGTAGAAGCAAGGAAATTAAAAAGACTGTAATTTTCAGTAAATAAAGTACTCTTTTTAACCATTTTATAAGTTGATGAAGTATCTAAATATAAATGTATACAAGTTTGTACTCACACCTGTAATCCCAGCACTTTGGGAGGCTGAGGCAGGTGGATTGCTTGAGCTTGGGCAACATGGCAAAACCCTGTTTCCACTAAAAATACAAAAATTAGTTGGGTGTGATGGCAGGCACCTATAGTCCCAGCTACTCAGGATCGCCTGAACCCAGGAAGCGGAGGCTGCAGTGAGTCAAGATCATACCACTGCATTCCAGCCTGGGCAACACAGTGAGACCCTGTGTCAAAAAAAAAAAAGTATTAGTTGCTTGCCATGTTGAGAACAGTGTGATTTCAGTAAAGGGATGATATGGCTACTCTAATGCATGTAGAAAAGTGTTTAAATGTACAGTGGGCCCCTGAACAATGTGGGGGTTAGGAGTGCCTACCCCCTTGCATTTGAAAATCTGGGTATAACTTTTGTCTCCCCAAAAACTTAACTCCTAATAGCCTACTGTTGACTGGAAGCCTTACCAATAATACAGTCAGTTAACACCCATACACACACGTACATATGTGTGTGTTTGTATGTATGTGTGTGTATATATATATAGATATATATATATATGCACATACTATATTCTTTTTTTTTTTTTTTTTGAGATGGAGTCTTGCTCTGTTGCCCAAGCTGGAGTGCAGTGGTGCAATCTTGGTTCACTGCAACCTCTGCCTGCCGGGTTCCTGCTTTAGCCTCCTGAGTAGCTGGGGTTACAGGCACCTGCCACATACCTGACTAATTTTTATATTTTTAGTAGAGATGGGGTTTCACCATGTTGGCCAGCTGGTCTCTAACTCCTGACCTCAAGTGATTTGCCCACCTCAGCCTCCCAAAGTGCTGGGATTATGGGCGTAAGCCACCATGCCTAGCTTATATACTGTATTAAGCTAAGGGAAAGAGAATGTTATTAAAATCATAAGGAGGAGAACATATATTTACTATTCATTAAGTGGAAGTGGATCATCAGAAAGGTCTTCATCCTCATCATCTTCCTGTTGAGTAGGCTGCAGAGTGGGATGAAGAGGAGAGCATGGTGTTGCAGTCTCAGGGGTGGCAAAGGCAGAAGAAAATCCACGTATAAATCAACCCATGCAGTTCAAACCCATGTTCAAGGGTCAACTGTACATGTAAACAGGAATTGTGCATGTCGAGTGATAACACTGAGAGTGGTACACCCTTAGGCAGCAGAAGAGCAGCTTTCCTTTATATCTCATGATGTGTTCTCAGAAAGCTGAGCCTCATTACGTTCTTCTCTTTCATAAATTGCCTATCAGCTTCCAGATTTACAAGACCAGAAATTTATAACCAAGAAAGAGGGGTTGGGACAGGGCAGAATTAGGAGAGAGGTGGAGTTGTGTGGAGCTTTAAAAATCATGCTCAATGCTGGGTGCAGTGGCTCACGCCTGTAATCCCAGCACTTTGGGAGGCCAACGTGGGTGGATCACCTAAGGTTGGGAGTTCGAGATCAGTCTGACCAACATGGTGAAACCCGCTCTCTACCTAAAATACAAAAATTAGCCCAGCGTAGTGGCAGGTGCCTGTAATCCCAGCTACTCGGGAGGCTGAGGCAGGAGAATCGCTTGAACCCAGGAGGTGGAGGTTGCAGTGAGCCAAGATCACGCCATTGCACTCCAGCTTGGGCAACAGAGTGAGACTTCGTCTCAAAAAAAAAAAAAAGAAAAAATACACACTCAAAATGATCACTGCTCTGATTTGGCTATGACAGTTGACATATTTTGACATTTCAAATGATGCTGATTCTCAAAATGGAGCATAAGTTAAAGCAAATTTGAAGATCACTGTCCTAAATTCACGTGACTTGACACAAGAATGGGGTAGTAGAATAAAATGTCAGCTCACATCTAAGCAAATCGAAATTCTAAGAATTCTTTGTACTGGAGGAGATAATACTGAGTAACATGACCCTGCAAAGTAGTCTACCGAGTTCTTTAATCAGTGTGAGTTTAGAATTTAAATTCGACATATGCAAAGTACCTCCCTAAAGCATCCCTACACTTATCACCAAAAGTGGGTATACTTGAAAGGTACACACAGTATTTCACACTTAGTGATCTTACAAGGCAGAAAAAAGCATTCTTAGGAAGCTTCTTTACAGCCACTTTTCATCCACAAGGAAAGCAGCAGCCCTAATCATTTTTACAAAATAAGTGTCATCAATAATAGCAAAAAATCAAATTATTTAACTTTTTGAGTCATCTCTTCACTTCACCACTGGCCTCAGTAATTTCTGGACCCATTGGAGCAGCAGAATTGAAGATTAGGGAGAGGTTGGAAATTTCCTTAACCTGTTGGCAGCAGTCACCACGTAGAAATGTTTCTTGAAGCAAGGAGAGAAGAAAAGAAAAGAAAAAGCATGTATTTTAGACAAATTGCTTTATGAAGGAACAATAAAAGGATTTAATGAGTCTAGCCACTTGTGTTGGTTTAAAACTTTTAACTTAAAGGAAACATGTTTCTAAAATAATTATAGAATAGTCATATGACTTTCAGGGACATGTTTGGAATAAATATGAAGTGGAAAGATATATCATCCTGACTCCCTGACTCCCTTTCTCCCTCCTTTCCTTCCTTCCTTCCTTCCTTCCTCCCTCCGTCCCTCCCTCCCTCCCTTCCTTCCTTTCTTTATTCCTTCCTCCATCCCTCCCTCCCTTCCTTCCTTCCTTCCTTTCTTTATTCCTTCCTCCATCCCTCCCTCTCCCTACCTCCTTTCCTTCCTTCCTTTTTTCTTTTTTTGAGATGGGGGTCTCGATTTGTTGCCCAGGCTGGAGTGCAGTGGCGTGATCTTGGCTCACTGCAACCTCCACCTCCTGGGCTCAAGCAATTCTCCCACATTAGCCTCCCAAGTAGCTGGGACTACAGGCAAGTGCCACCACACCTGGCTAATTTTTGTCTTGTTTGTAGAGATGTGGTCTCACTATGTTACCCAGGCTTATCCTCCCCTTTTCACATGAAAAATGGAGCACCTGAGAACAGTGTCTTATTTTTATTTTTTACCAGCCTACATCATGCTTTGATAGAACAGTGTTTTTCAAATTGTGATTCACAACTGAGCAACGGGTCATGAAATCAAATTGGTGGGTTGCAAACAGCATTTTAAAAATAAAACCAAGCGGCACAGAATAGAAAATATCAGAATTCATCATACTCCGTTAGAGAAAATGTTGTGATTTTTTTTAAAAAACAGAAAAGAAAAAAATCACCCAGGCTAGATTGCACTGGCGTGATCATGGCTCATTGCAGCCTCAAACTCATGAGCTCAAGTGATCCTCCCCACCCAGCCTCCCAAATAGCTGGGACTATACGTGCAGGCCACCACGCCTGGCTTAGTCAAATTTGTGTGTGTGTGTGTGTGTGTGTTTCCTGGTAGGTGTGTACACGTGTATGTATACTTGTGTACTGGCTCCATACATAAAGGGTTTTGTTTATGTTTTTTGATCCCCAGTGAGGATCTAAGTCCATATTAAATTGTTGGAAGCCACTTCTCTGGATCACAGTTGCTTTTAAGGTAGGTTTTATGCCCATGATACTAAACAATTCTGTTGTAAACAAAATTATAAAGCTTTAAAAGCTTAATAGAGCTTTCTTATCTCTTATTTCTGAAATGTGGAGGAATCGGTCCTCAAGCTCTAAGCAGTTAGTTCAGGAGCTTCACTGTGATTGCCACTGAGAACATATGCTTAAGCTTCATTCTCTCACTTCAAGTGTCCATATAAGCACAAACCAAATGTAACTTTTAGCCAGTTATTTTTGTTCTGTGACATTTTTAAATCAAGCTAGCAGCTTTTGACATGAGAGAGACTTTTTTCCCCGAAATAACCTTTCTGTTTAGAATCACAATGTAAGTAAAAACTTAGCTACAGGCTGGGTGTAGTGGCTCATGCCTGTAATGCCAGCACTTTGGGAGGCTGAGGCAGGAGGATTGCTTGAGGCCAGGAGTTCAAGACCATCCTAGGAAACTTAACAAGACCCTGTCTGTGCAAAAAAACAGAAAAGTTAGTGAGGCATGGTAGTACATGCTTGTAGACCCAGCTACTTAGGAGGCTGAGGTGGAAGGATTGCTTGAGTCCCAGAGTTTAAGGTTAATGTGAGCCATGATCATGCCATTATACTTCAGCCTGGACAATAGAGCAAGACTCTGTCTATAAAAAACAAAAAAAAAAAACAACAACAACAAAAAACGCAGCTACAGGGTTTTCAAAGGACGGATTCAGATGACAAATGCCACCTTTACTAAGAGAAAAACCAAATACCTTCCATTTTCTCTGAGCTATGTATTTCTGCAGCAGCAGTTGCGATTTGAGACGAACTTTGGATCTTGAAGCTTTGGCAGGCAAATTATTCAGCCACTCGTGTTTCAGGCACTGTGTGGCACTCATTCTGCAGCTGTGAAATCAAAGAGCAGTTAAGACTTTTAGTTGAAGTTGCCTTTTCTAGTCCAAAAATCTGTTCAATTGGGTAGGAAGCCTGAGTCAGTGGAACAGATTAATCATTTAGGCAGATTCATGACATGTACCAAAAAGGGAACTCCTTGTATCTAATCTTCTCTGCCTTCAAAGTACCAGAAGGTTGTCAGTAAAATGTTCTCTGACCTCTATAGCGGGAACATATTCCAGTGATTCTAGAAGGAACCACCTCCCAGAGGGGGCTGTGAAGTTGAGGCAGAGCAGTAGGAAGGCTAGCTGTGGCTAAAATTGTTCTTAAGAAGCAAAAGAACAGGAAATCTGAAAGAAGCTTCTTTCTCCTTACAGATAAAAAGGCAACTTGTTCATCTGACTTAGAATTTTTTTCCTCTCACATAACTTTTCACAGTCAAAAAAAAAAAAGACCGTAAAGGTCACGAAAATACAAGCTGTCTTAGAGCCCAGACTCTTGGACATTAGCCTTGGGTCATTAATACTTTGGGTTATGTCCAGTTATTACCTTATGTCTGAGTATCAAAAAACTCAATGGCTTGACCCATGACTTTGATATAGATGCTAAAGCCTAAACAGATTTTCTTCACCAAGAAACAAGGTATTCAGATCTTTATTCTGGAAATAACATCTTCATATCAACTTTTTTCAACCTTAGCCTATGACAAGTGATAACTTGCAGATCAAACCAATTTATATATGCTTCTTTTCTAAAACTATATTTTATGTCTCTATTTGTTTGTTGTTTCATTGATTTCCTTTGTCCCTTTCTCTGTTCTTTTATTGTTCCAAAGAAGTAGCAAACTAAGAAATCTTGAACAGAATTCATCCACAGGAAGACGGACCTTCACAGTCAGTAGTCCTGCCCAGCTCCCACACCCAGGATTTCCATCAGAAGGGCCCATGAGTGACAAGCAGTGAAGGGTACCTCTTCTCTTTGACCAGCAACCGGGAAACAAAGTCCTTGGCCTCCTCCGAGAGGCCCTCAAAGGTGTCAGCATCAAAATCCCAGCTACAGTTTACAATGAAATTCATGGTCTCTGCATCTGTTTCCCCTAGAAATGGGGACAAGCCACTGAGTCTACAGAAGAGAGAAAGGACCATCAGTAGGTGGAGGCCACATTTGCCAACCTGCATTGGCAGAATAGTGAAGCTTACAGAGTTCAAGTGAACCTAGCCAGAACCAAGGGGATTCAAAAGAAAAACACTCCCACTACTTCTCCACAGGATGGAGTCCAGTGTGTTCATTAAAGGGAGGAGCAGAAGGATTTAAAATTCTGAGGCAAGAAGAGTGTTTGGAATGAGTCCCCTCTTGTGCCCACCTCTTTCCCCCTCATCCCTGAAGTAAAGAGTAGAATTAGGGCCCAACTTGGTATGCCCAATTATCAAGTACATATTGATTTCATTTTAGAAACAGAAATAGCCTTCCATGTCCTTGAGACAACCAGGCTTGTTTAATGCTACCCAGGCCCCAGGCCAAAGGAAATTGGGCTTTATTAGGCTCCCACTAGAGTGAGGGTAGAGAGGCAGGACACCCTGATGGCTGGCCTCAGGTCTCTGAACTTCCCCAGCGTGGTGCAGCTCACACATCTGAGTGCAGGGATAGTACGTAGCACAATAATCAGAAGACCAGAAGCAAAACATAACTTTGCCCCTGAGGAAGCAGCCAAGGGAAGTCCACACCGGAGGAGAGAAGAAAACAGGGAGCACAGGGGTTCCATGATGCAGCAAAGGACGTCCTGCCCTGCCCAGCCCCATTCCTTACCCCTTGGGTACACTCCCGCCTCATTTGGGTTTTTATTTTGTTTTGTCTTCAAGCAGGGTCTCATTCTGTCACCCAGGCTGGAGTGCTGTGGTGCGATCATTGCTCATTGCAGCCTCGAACTCCTGGGCTCAGGCAATCCTCCCACCACGGCCTCCCAAAGTGCTGGGATTACAGGCATTTGTACCAAAGTACCTGCATGTCTTTGCTGGAGGGCTTTCCCTCCAGCTGAAGCTTGCTTTACTCACCCAGAAGTATCAGTAAATCCATTCCACCCCATCTCCATTAGTCCACAAGCAATAACAGATAAGAGTTAATGTATAAATACTCTAACTCCCTCCCCCGCTACGAAATAATTCTCAGGGAGTATTCCATGATGGATTCTGGAGCTCCCCAGCAGAATGAAACTCCAGTTGCCCACAACTGGGCCTTACTCCTGGGTCATGAATACCTTTGTTATTTTCAGTTACTACTTTTATGTCTCAGTATCAAAAAATTCAATGGCTCAAGCATAACTTTTCTTTTTTTTTGAGACGTGGCCTTGCTCTGTCACCCAGGCTGGAATGCAATGGCATGATCATGGCTCACTGCAACCTCAACTTCCCAAGCTCAAGCAATTGTCCCACTTCAGTCTCTCTAATACTACTGGGACTACAGGCAAGCAGCACCCTGCCCAGCTAATTTTTTTGGTTTTGGTAGATACAGGGTCTCCTATGTTGCCAAGGCTGGTCTTGAACTCCTGGGCTCAAGCAATCCTCCCACTTTGGCCTCACAAAGTGCTGGGATTACAGGCATAAGCCACTATGCCCAGCTCAACCCATAACTTTGATACAGCTGCTGAAGCCCAAGTAGGCCTTCCTCACCAAGAAACAGGCCTTTAGACCTTTGTTCCAGGGAGTAATATTGGCACATCTCACCTTTTTTTCAATATTAACCTACTACAATGATAACTTGGAAATATGACGGCCTTGTAAATATGGTAACTAGCTAGATAACATACCCTTCCCCAGCTCTTTTCTTTCCCCATCTCATTACCCTATTCCTCTACTGGGGTCTCCTGGGGACACTTCCCAGATAGACTACTGGTGCTCAAAGTTTTGCTTCTAAGATTACCCAAGGGAAAACAAATAACCGCCGTCCCCACTTCAGAGCCAGGCTGCTAAGCACTCACAGCATGTAGGTGATGACTCCCACACTCCACATGTCCGTGGGAAATGAGACAAACTCATAGTTAACGACTTCTGGGGCTAGGAATTCAGGAGTGCCAAAATTCACTTTCAGCTTCTCTCGAGGCTTGTACCTGGGGAAGAGTGGAGGGTACAAAGAACCATGGGGTGAGGCCTGGGAGATGTGGATTCTGGGGCTCATTTCTGGTGGGAAGCACACATTACCCACTTCCTGTCAGCCATATGGCCTGGACCCCACACCCACACTACACATGTAGATTACTGGGGAATAATCAGACCCCAGACACATTCTACAGGCTTTTCTAAGTCAGTGGGGAATCAGAGAACTACAGTCTTCTTCCTCCAGGCATTTGCTGCTTTCAATAGTCAAATTTATAGAAACAGAAATTAGGAAGGAGTTAGGGGCAAATGAAAAGTGGGAAGTTATTATTTAATGGGTACAGAATTTCAGTTTTGCCAGATGAAAAAGCTCTGGAGATTGGTTGCACAACAATGTGAATGTACTAATTGTATATATTTATGGTATATACGATGCTTTTTTTTTTGAGATAGGGTCTCACTCTGTCACTCAGGCTAGAGTGCAGTGACATGATCTCGGCTCACTGCAACCTCTGCTTCCCAGGCTCAAGCGATTCTCTCACCTCAGCCTCCTGAGTAACTGGGACTACAGGCATGTACCACCATACCTGATTAATATTTTGTATTTTTTGTAGAGATGGGGTTTCACCACGTTGCCCAGGCTGGTCTTGAACTCCTGAGCTCAAAAAATCCGCCTGCCTCGACATTACAAAGTGCTGGGATTAAAGGCATAAGCCACTGCACCAGCAGGTATATATGATGCTTTGATACATGTGTACGTTGTGGGATGGCTAAATCAAGCTAATTAACATATGTATTACCTCACATACTTATTTTCTAACACTTAAAATCTATTCTCTCAGCAATTTTCAAGTATGCAATATATTGTTATTAACTATAATCACCATGCTATACAATGGCTCTCTTGAATTTATTCCTCCTTTGTATGTGAAATATTGTATCCTTTGGCCGACATCTCCCCAGTGCCACCTACCCTGCTTTTGGTAACCACCATCCAACACTTCGCCTGTAAGAGTTTGTCTCTTAGATTCCACACATAAGTGAGATCACGTGGTACTTGTCTTTCTGAGTCTGGCTTATTTCACTTAACGTAAGTTAAGTGACCCTGACTACAGGGTCATCCATGTCGCTGCAAATGGCAGGATTCCCTTCTCTTCTGAGGCTGAACAGTATTCATTTGCATATATGCACCCAAGTTTCTTTATCCACTGATGGACACTTTTACATTATGTATTTTGTTAACCATAATTCGAAAAATAAAGAATTAGAAAAACTTCTGGACATGAAGTTTAAGTAAGGCTAGGAAGAGAGTCAATGGCTGAGTGGGAAAAGGAGGCAAACAGTGTGTTTTAGAGTCACTCTTGAGGGTAAAGAGAGTCTCTAAAGTTCCATGGGCACTTTTTATTTGTCAGGTACTGTGCTAAAAGTTTTATACATGCATAACATCTCTTTCCATCCTCCCAATAGCCCCGTGAAATAGGTAGGATGAGGCAATTGAGAATAATAATAAAATGAATATTCTGCCAATATGCCCCGCTTCCTTTAAATCAGCTTTGAGAGAGCAGTCTCCTCTCCTCCAAATTTTTTGAGATCCAGGTGGACACAGGCCCAACGCCAGCCAGCATAGCTGAGCCCATCCAGTGAAAGAGCAGCAAGGTGGCAGGGGTTGGGGGGATGGGCCTGGGAGGTAAGCGCTTCTCTGGCACTTGCTCCTCCCCTACACCAGCAGCTGGCCCAGGACTCAAGGATCAGGAGCTGAACTCCAACTAACAGCACAGCCTTCCCCTCAAGGAGAAGCCCCCAAAGCCACTCTCCCAGGTTGCATTACTGTTCCCAGTGTCTCATTGTGCCCCACAGCCACACCTTGTGTGTGGTGGAGGGCACCATGTGGCCATGAAATAAGAAAACTACTTCTTCATGGAAAACAGCCATGAGGGCCAGGCGCAGTGGCTCACGCCAGTAATCCCAGCACTTTAGGAGGCCAAGGCGAGAGAATCACTTCAAGCCAGGAGTTCGAGACCAGCTTAGCCTGTCTCTATTAAAAATACAAAAATTAGCCGGGTGTGGTGGCGGGTGCCTGTTATCCCAGCTATTTGGGAGGCTGAGTCAGGAGAATTGCTGGAAGCCGGGAGGCGGAGGTTGCAGTGAGCCGAGGTTACAACACTACACTCCAGCCTCTGGTCAACAGAGCGAGACTGTAAAAAAAAAAAAAAAAAAAGAAGAAGAAGAAAAAAACAGCCAGCCACCAGGAGAGAGAAGGAGCTTCATCTTCTTGAAAATTCAGCTGCAGCCAAAAAGACCTTCCTAGAAACTATGATTCCCAGAGAAATGTCACTCTTGGGGGAAACAGAATCCTGGCGGAATCTTGGAAGCTGGGCATACACTACTGCCATGTTTTTGAACCGAGGATGCCTGAAGGTTTAGGGGAAGCCTTCCCAAATGCCAAAGATCTGCTACTACCACTACCGAGAACCCACACCACTGGGCATATGTGCCGTGGGCAGGAACCCAGTGTTCAGCATACATGTGACTGGACTTTACAGCACCTATCTGAGAAGAAAGGAGAATAATGGTGAAGGGGGCTGCTAAGCGGGGTACTGGGCTGCTAAGTTTTGTGGATTCCCCAGGCCTCCTGGGGCCAAGAGGTGCTGAGCTATGTGATGTATCTGTCACCATCCCTGCCCTCCAGGAAATAAGCAGGTTAAATACAAAAAGTGAGTATGTGACAGTGTTGGGTGGTGCCATGGGTAGTGTGGCACCCTTGGGCTGCACAGCAATGTTAGCCACATTGCACTAGGCTTCAAGCATTTTAAGAGACTATGAGATTTTTAACATCATATACAATGGGCCAGATTAGGGGGCTCACACCTGTAATTCCAGCACTTTGGGAGGCTGAAGCAAGACGATCACTTGAGGTCAGGAGTTTGAGACCAGTCTGGCCCACTTAGTGAAATCCCATTTTTACTAAAAGTATAAAAATTAGTCATGTGTGGTGGTGAGTGTCTGTAATCTCAGCTACTTGGGAGGCTAAGGCAGTTGAATCACTTGAATCCAGGAGGCAGATGTTGTAGTGAACAGAGATTGCATCACTGCACTCCAGCCTGGGCAACAGAGCAAGACTCCATCTCAAAGTAATAATATTAAAAATACATATACAATGTTTACTTTATTTATTATTTATTTATTTTTAGACAGAGTCTAGCTCTATTGCCCAGACTGGAGTATAATGGTGTGACCTTAGCTCAGTGAAGGCTCAAGTGATCCTCCCACCTCAGCCTCCTGAGTAGCTGAGACTACAGGTGCTCACCACCATGCTGGGCTAATTTTGTATTTTTTGTAGAGATGAGATCTTGCTATATTGTCCAGGCTGGTCTCAAATTCCTGGGGTCAAGAGATCCTCCTTCTTTGGCCTCCCAGTTGGGATTATAGGCATGAGCCACTGTGTTGGGCCTACAATATTTACTTTATTCCCTGAAACTTGAGAACCTAACCTCCCAGATAGGATGGGTCCACACAATCTGTGTATTTTCTCATTTAACCCTCGTAACCACCCCCCTGCCAGCAGGTAATGCATTATATCATCATTTCACCATGATTTAAACCAGTCCTGAGGGCTTATAGAAACAACCACCCATGGCACCACTCCACACTGTCACATACTCACTTTTTGTATTTAACCTGGTCATTTCCTGGAGGGGAGGGATGGTGACAGATGCACTGCATAGCCCAGCACCTCCTGGCCCCTGGAAGGCCTGGGGAATCCATAGAACTGAGCAGCCTAGCACCCAGCTCAGCAACCCCCTTCACCATCACTCTTCTCTCTTCTGATAGGTGGTGTGAAGTCCAGTTAATCCCATAGCCGTTTAGGGAGAAGCAGAGCCTACAGCACAAAGCCAGCCCCTGTAAGAGCATCAGGGCCTGTCTGCAAGTCAAAGGCCACCAGCCTCTGTGCACAAGAACTCAAGCATTTGGGATTCAATCGGTTCCAAAACTCAAGCATTGGCTGGGTCAGCGGTAACCATGCCCAGAGAGCCACAAAGAATCCCAAGAAACTTTGCTAAGTTGTCTAAATAAAACCCCCTTACCTTCTGGCCAGCCCGAAGTCAATAATCTTAATTTGATGTCCTGTCTGATTGACACACAGTATGTTCTCTGGCTGGGAAAGAAAGAAGTCTGCTTAGCCCAAGTAACAGCTGAGGAGGTCTGCAGCTGCCTCGATTCTTTGTCTGTAGGCCTCCGTTTTCCAGCCTTCAAGGCACCTGAATTGCTCAGGGCAGCCCTGCAGGGGCTGGATAGATAGTGAAAATACATGAAGGGGCTGGTGAGACAATTAGGGTTGGTGTGGACTGGGAAACTGGAGGTTCCCGGCCTGTGTAAAGGAATAGCACTACCCACTGCCAGCCACTGATCACCACGTAGGAGTGCAGGCACAACGCCAGAGTTTCTCAGTCCTCAAGAGAAGCCAGGAATTCAGGGGTTTTTTGTTTGTTTGGTTTTGTTTTTAATTAAAAAAACAGAGATGGGGTCTTGCCATGTTCCCCAGGTTGGTCTCAAACCCCTAGGGTCAAGAGATCCTCCAGCCTCAGCCTCCCAAAGTGCTGGGCTTACAGGTAAGCCACCATGCCCAGCTAGAAATTCAGGTTTTTATGTGAAAATTCCATGCTTTCAAATGTTAACAACTAAGTGAAATCTAAACTCACATCTGGAAGCCAAACAGAACACCTCTGTGATATATATTTGGCCCATGAGCTGCTTGTGTGGGACTACTGGTTTGGGGCTGGCTTCCCAAACCTGGCTGTATATTGGAATCATCAGGGGAGCTTTTAAAATCCCAATGTTATACTGGAATGCTAAGAGAATTAAAAAAAAAAAAAGTCCCAGTGCCCAAGCCTCAACCCTGACCAATTACATCAGAACTTCTGGGGTGACACCAAAGCATCACTGGTTGGTTAAGGAGAGCAGAGCTGCTGAATGTCCACCTGCCTTTCTGCAGTGACAGCTGTGGCCCACCGCATGAGGGTGGCAGCCTTAGCATGCCTGTCCTCTTACAGCACTTGGATCAGCTCTGAGTCCCTGAGGGAGTCTGGAAGGATGCTGCTGCTTGTGCATGACAAATTTGGGTTTACCTGTGTTGGAGGCTTGGGGAGAGAAGCTGAATGAAGATCTAGGGCTTATGATGGACAGGACTTGTAGACCCAGGGTCCAGTGCCTGAGGCACAGGGGCTCATTACCTGGTTCTGTAGCCCTAGACGAGTTCCTCCCCATTCCTGAAGACTCAATGTCTCCATATGTAAAACAGGAGTGATAACCTTTTCCTGCCTGTGCCCTGGAAGGGTGTGAGGATCAAATGACATAATAGGCATGAAACACTTTACAGCTTCCAAACCAAATGTCCGCTACTTTTTCTCCCAACAGAAGACTTCATTGTTATTTGTGTTATCGCGAGGTTGTACAATTCCTCAGATAGGTGGAGAGAATGGTGTTTAAAAATCTCAATGTCTTCTATATAAGATCTAGAATAACACTGTCCAATAAAAATAAAATGCGAGCCACGTATATAGTAATTTAAAGTTTTCTAGTATGCACATTTAAAAAGGTCAAGAGAAACAGGTGACCTTAATTTTTATAACATTATGAATAACACAAATAATACTGATTTTTACCATAAAACTCACCATTTTAAAGTATGCAATTCAGTGATTTTTAGTATATTCAGAGTTGTGCAATGACACCACTATCTAATTTTGGAACATTTTTCATCGCCTTAAAAAAAAAAACCCAACCCATCATCACTCCCTGTCCATTCTCCCCTCACTTCCCACCCCCTGGCAATCATTAATGTATTCTCTTTCTCTGTGGATTTGCCTATTCTGGACATTTCATATAAATGGAATCATAAAACATATGGCCTTTTGTGTCTGGTTTCTTTCAGTTACCAGAATGTTTTCAAGGTTTATTCATGTTGTGTAACAGTATTTCATTCTTTTTCACAGCTACATAAGATTCCATTGTATGGATTTGACCATATTTTACCAATTAACTAATAAAGTTAATGAACATCTGGGTTGTTTACACTTTGGGCTATTATATATAATGCCACTAAAAACATTTGTGTGCAAGTTTTTGTGTCAACTTATGTTTTAATTCTCCTAGGTGTATACCTAGGAGTAAAATTGCTGGGTTATATGGTAATTCTATGTTTAGCATTTTTTGGAACTGCCGAACTTTTAAAAAAGTGAATGCACAATTTTACAACCACACCAGCAACGTATAAGGGTTCCAAATTTTCCATATCCTAGCTAATCCTCTTTTTTTTTCAGATGGAGTTTTGCTCTTGTTGCCCAGGCTGGAGTGCAATGGGATGACTGGCTCACTGTAACCTCTGCCTCCCGGGTTCAAGCAATTCTCCTGCCTCAGCCTCCTGAGTAGCTAGGATTACAGGCATGTGCCATCAAGCCCAGTTAATTTTGTATTTTCAGTAGAGACAGGGTTTCTCCAAGTTGGCCAGTCTGGTCTCGAACTCCCAATATCAGGTGATCTGCCCATGTTGGCCTCCCAAGCTGTGAGCCACTGCGCCCAAGCTTTAATACTTCTTATTGTGTATCATGTTTATAGTCAGTCTAGTGGATATGAAATACTGATTTTGATTTACAGTTCTGTAATGATGCTGAGAATGACTTCATGTGCTTAGTAAAATTGTATGTTTTCACTGGATAAATGTCTATTCAAATCCTTTGACCATTTTTAATTGGTTATTTGTCTTTCTATTGTCTAGATACAAATCCTTTATCTGACATATGATTTGGAAATATTTTCTCTCATTCTATGAGCTATTATTTTACTTTTCCCATGGATCCTTTGAAGTATGAAGTTTTTTCATTCTGATGTGTAATTCATCTCTTTTTTTTTCTTGATTATGTTTTTAGTGTCATATCTAAGACCCTGTTGCCTAATCCCAGGTCATAAGGATTTATTCCTATGTTTTCTTCTAACAGTTTTATAGTTGTAGTCTTACATTTACATCTACAGTCCATTTTGAATTAATTTTTGTATATGGTGTAAGGTAAGGGTCCAACTTTATTCTTTTACATGTAGCTCTCTAGCATGGTGTCCCAGCACAATTGTTGAAAAGACTGTAATTTTCCCGTTGAATTGTCATGGTACCATTGTCACAAATCAAATGACCATAAATGTAATGGTTTATGTCTAGACTCTCAAGTGTGTTAATTTGATGCATATATCCAATCTTACATCAGTAATACACTGTTTTGGTTTCTGTAGCATTGTAGAAAGTTTTGAAATTGGGAAATGTTAGTCTTCCAAATTTGTTCTTTTTCAAGATTGTTTTTGTTATTCTAGGTCCCTTGAATTCCCATCTGAATTTTAGGACTTCATTAACATCTGAAAAGAAGCCAGCTATGACTTTGATAAGGATTATGTTGAATCAGTGGATCAATGGGAGAGTCACCTTAACAAGATTACATTTTCCAATCCATGATCATGGGATGGCTTTCCATTTGTTTAGGTCTTTGAATTATCTTAAAATTTTGTTGTAGTCTTCAGAGTATGTCTTGCACTTATTTTGTTAATTTTTTTCTAAGTATTTTACTCTTTTGATGCTGTCATAAATGAAATTATTTTCTTAATTTTATTTACAGATTGTTCAGTCCCTGTATTTAAAAATACAATTAATTTTTGTATATATGACTTACATACCAGAATCTTGATGAATTTATGAATCCTAATCATTTCCTCTCCTTAGGATTTTTTTACATACAAGAGCATGGCATCTGCAAATAGAGGTAGTTTTACTTTCTTCCCAATCTGAATGCCTTTTATTTCTTTTCTTGCCTAATTGCCCTAGTTAGAGCCTCCAGTAAAATGTTCAATACAAGTGGCAAGGACAGATACCCTGTCTTGTTCCTGATTTTAGGGAGAAAACATTCAGTCTCCTACTACTAAGCATAATGTTAGCTGTGGGTTTTTCATAGGTGGCCTTTATCAGGTTGAGGAAGTTCTATTCCTCATTTGTTTATTGTTTTCATCATAAAAAAATTTTGAATTTTGTCAATTACTTTTTCTATATCTATTAAAATTATTATATTAATATGGCACATTTCATATGTTAAACCAATCTTGCATTCTTGGGATAAACCTCACTTTGTCATGTATATGATCCTTTTTATATGTTCAGTTTGCTAACATTTTATTGAGAAATTTTGCATCTATATCCATAAGGGACTTTGGTCTGTAGCCTCCTTTCCTTGTGATGTCTTGTTTGATTTTGGTATGAGGATAAGATTAGCCTCATAAAATGAGAAGGAAGTGTTCCCTCTTCTTTGATTTTTGCAAGAATTTGTAAAGATATTAATTCTTTAAACATTTGGCTTTTATTACATTTGCTTTGGGTTCTTGCTCATGAAATCCTTGCCTAAGCCAATGTCTAGAAGGGTTTTTCCAGGGTTGCCTGCTAGAATTTTTAGTTTCAGGTCTTAGATTTAAGTCCTTGATTCATCTTGAGTTGATTTTTGTATAAGGTAAGAGATGAGGATCCAGTTTCATTCTCCTACATGTGGCTTGCCAGTTATCCGAGCACTATTTGTTGAATAGGACATCCTTTCCTCAGCAAACATGCTGTTGAAGATCAGTTAGCTGTAAGGATTAGGGTTTATTTCTGGGTTCTCTATTCTCTTCCATTAGTCTTTGTGCCTATTTTTATGACAGTACCATATAATACTCAGCCATAAAAAGGAATGAATTAACGGCATTTATAGTGACCTGGGTGAGACTGGAGACTATCACTCTAAGTGAAGTAACTCAGAAATAGAAAACCAAACATTATATGTTCTCACTCATATATGGGAACTAAGCTATGAGGATGCAAAGGCATAAGAAAGACACAATGGACTTTGGGAACTCAGAGGCAAAGGGTGGGAAGAGATAGAGGGATAAAAGACCACAAATTGGGTGCAGGGTATACTGCTCAGGTGATAGGTACACCAAAATTTCACAAATCACCACCAAAGAACTTACTCATGTAACCAAATACCACCTGGTTCCCCGATAACCTATGGAAAGAATAATTAAAAAAAAAAAAAATTGGGGCCAGGCATGGTGGTTCACGCCTATAATCCCAGTAGTTTGGGAGGCCAAGGTGGGCAGATCACTTGTGCCCAGGAGGTCAAGACCAGCCTGGGCAACATGGTGGGCAAGATGGGCATGTACCCATCTCTACAAAAAAATACAAAAACTAGTAACACATGGGGCACTCATCTATAGTCCCAGCTGCTCAGGAGGCTAAGGTGGGAGGATCCCTTGAGCCCAGGAGGTTGAGGCTGCAGGGAGCTGTGATCATGCCACTGCACTTCAGCCTGGGCAACAGAGCCAGACCCTGTCTCAAAACAAACAAACATACATTTGGTATAATTCACCAGTGAAGCCATATGGGCCTGGGCTTTGCTTTGTAGATAGTTTTTGATTACTAATTCAATCTCTTTCACTGTTATAGATCTATTCATATTTTCTATTTCTTCTTGAGCTAATTTCATAGTTTGTGCTTCCTAGAAATTTGTCCATTTCATCTAGGTGATCTGCCTTACTGGCATACAATTTTGTTTATCATATTTCTTTATAATCCTTTTTTATTTCTGTAGGACCAGTAGTAATGTCCCCTCTTTTATTCCTGATATCTTCTCTTTCTCTTGGTTAGTTTAAATAAATATTTGCCAATTTATTGATCTTTCTAAAGAACTGACTTTTGGTTTTAATGATTTTCTCTATTGTTTTTCTGTTTTATTTTATTATTTATACTCCAATTTTTGTTTCCCTCATTCTGATTGCTTTGAGTCTAACTTGCTGTTGATTTTCTAGTGTCTTCTTCCCCGCTTTGAGAGAGGGTCCTGCTCTATCGCCCAGGCTGGAGTGCGGTGACCCAATCATACCTCACTACAGCCTCCCACTTCTGGGCTCAAGTGACCCTCCTGCCTTCAGCCTCCCAACCAACCAGAACTACAGGCATGCACCACTATACCTGGCTAATTAAAAAAAAATTTTTTTTGTAAAGACAGGGTCTCACTATGTCACCCAGGCTAGTCTTAAACTCATGGCCTCATCCTTCCTTGGCCTCCCAAAGTGCTGGGATTACAGATTAATAATGTATTTTATTTAACCCAACATATCTGAAATATTGTCACTTCAATAAGTTATCAATACAAAAATATTGATGTGATCGTGTCCATTATTTTTCATATTGGGTCTTTTAAATCCAGTGTGTATTTTACACTTACAGTGTATCTCAATTCAGACCTTAAGTTTTCATCAGAAATATTTGATCTGTATTTAGATTTCAAGAAATTTAGAGTTGAAATGTAAATTCATATATCCAAGTTGTTCCAAATAGTTTTCCAATAACTGAATCAAGGGTCAGTTTATTAATTTAAATTAACAAAATATAAAGTTCTGTTAGTCACATTAGCCACATCTCAAGTGCTTAGTGGCCACATGTGGCTCATGGCTACTGTCTCGGACAGTGCAATTCCAGAGCTCTTTCTCTGTATTTAATCTAGACAACACCCTCGGAGGTAGGTGTGATTTTTCCCTATTTCACAATTGATGAGCTTAAGGAACTTTCTCCAAGTCTCACAACTGGAAGGGGCTGAACCTCCACAGCCCTTCTCCCAGCTAGGAAACAACCTCAGCAGTGATCTCCTCTCTGCTGCAGCCACAGGCAGTGCACCAAAGGCTGGTCCTTGCACCAAAATCACAGGGCAGGTTCCTGAGATTTCCCTGGCTGCCCACCCGAGAGCAGTTGGTGCAGGATGCTTGGAGGGAGCTCTCATGAGTAAAAGGGACCTGAAGCCAATCCTGCCAACCCTTTTTTTCCAAGCACCCCACCTTATAGTCTGATGTCCACGGGGAAAGATGGTCAGAAGGGGCAATGTGCACCCTCAGAGATGCAGTCAACTCACCGCCCTTCTTCTGTGGGAAGCCGCCAACATTCACCCCCTTCCTGAAATGAGTTGTAAAGAAACACCCTCCTGTTGGCCCAGAGGAGTGGAAAATCAGAGAAACAGCCACTGTGTCTCAAGTGCTTGCTATCAGCCAGGCACCGTGCCCAGGGCGTTATGTACCTGACACTCCCAGGACACTCCTAGTAGACAAAAAAAGTGGAATTCAAAAGTGTATTCACTCCATAGAGTATCACTCAGCCCTCATAGAGAATGAAGAAAGATGTCTATACTGTGTTACTAACAAAATCAAGATTAAAAACAAATGTGGGCCAGGCTCATGTCTGTAATCCCAGCACTTTGGGAGGCTGAGGCAGGATTGCTTGAGTCCAGGAGTTCAAAACCAGCCTGGGCAACATGGTGAATCCTTGTTTCTATAAAAAATACAAAAATTAACCGAGTATGGTGGCATGTGCTTGTAATCCTAGCTACTTGGGAGGCTGAGGTGGGAGGATCACTTAAGCCTGGGCAGTTGAGGTTGCAGTGAGCTATGATGGCACAATTGCACTCCAGCCTGGGCAACAGAGGGAGGCCCTGTCCCCAAAAAAGAAAGATAGGAGATAGAGAAGGAAGGAAGGAAGGAAGGAAGGAAGGAAGGAAGGAAGGAAGGAAGGAAGGAAGGAAGGAAGGAAGGAAGGAAGGAAGGAAGGGAGAAAAGAGAAAGAGAATGAAAGAGAGAAAGAAAAGGAAGAAGGAAGAAAGAGAAAGAAGGGAAAGAAAGAAGAAAGAAAGAGAAAGGAAGGAAGGGAGGGAGGGAAAGAGGGAAGGAAGACAGAGAGAGGGAGGGAGGGAGAAATGTATTATAGGGTCTTTTGTGTGTCTGTGAGTCATGCCAGCTTGCTCACAGAGAAGTCCCCTCAGCATGGAGGCCTGGTGGGAGAAACTTTCACTGTGTATTTTACATACTACTCTCTTGCCTATATTTATTTGTTACCACAGCCTATGTTCTCTTTTGAACTTTTAAAAAAACTAATCTTAAAGGTATTTTTAAAGAAGAAAAGTTCATTGTTTTCTAAAGAAGAAAAGCTCACTGTTTCACTCAATCTCCAAATAACACTTAAAGAGGTCAATTATCCAGATGGAAGAACTACAGCCCCCAGAGGCAGCAAGAGTGTCCCAGACTCCAGAACTCAGAAAAAGACAGAGAGCCAGGAATGGAAGCCAGGGCTGTCTATGGACAGAGCTCTCAATGATGAGAGCACGCCAGGGGCTCAGGCACTAGGGGCCCTCCTCTGGCCCAGGGCAGAACCCACCTTGAGGTCCAGGTGCAGGATGTAGTGCTGGTGCAGGTAATGCACGCCCTCGCAGATCTGCCTGGTGAATAGGACCACATCCAGCTCGGTCAGGTGGTACTTCTCATCCGTGATCCGGTCAAAGAGCTCCCCTCCGTCCACGCTGTCAGAGCAAAGGGAGAGGCAGGCAGTAGCCTGAGCAAGGCTCTTCAGGGCTTGTATACTGTCATCATGGGGCCAAAAGACACCAGCCTGGTAGGCCCACAGTCATACCCCATGGGTCATAGGGCTGCTGCCACTGCCACTGGGGTTTTTTGTGTGTTTTTTTTGAGATGGAGTCTCACTCTGTCACCCAGGCTGGAGTGCAGTGGCATGATCTCAGCTCACTACAACCTCTGTCTCCCAGGTTCAAGTGATTCACCTGCCTCAGCCTCCTGAGTAGCTGGAATTACAGGTGCCTGCCACCACACCCAGCTAATCTTTGTTTTTTTGGTTTGTTTTGAGACAGTCTCGCTCTTGTTGCCCAGGCTAGAGTGCCGTGGCATGATCTTGGCTCACTGCAACCTCACCTTCCAGTTCAAGCAATTCTCCTGCCTCACTCTCCTGAGTATCTGGGTTTATAGGCATGCACCACCAGGCCTGGCTAATTTTGTATTTTTAGTTGAGACAGAGTTTCTCCATGTTGATCAGGCTGGTCTTGAACTCCAGAACTCAGGTGATCTGCCCGCCTTGGCCTCCCAAAGTGCTGGGATTACAGGCGTGAGCCACCAAGACTGGCCAATTTTTGTACTTTTAATAGAGACGGGGTTTCACCATGTTGGCCAAGCTTGTCTCGAACTCCTTACCTCAGGTGATCTGCCTGCCTTGGCCTCCCAAAGTGCTGGGTTTACAAGTATGAGCCACCATGCCAGGCCTGCCATTGGGATTTTTATTGGGACCTTTGCTCCAGTCCACCCCCAGCAAAGATTAGGGGTTGTAAAAAGGAAGTGACAGGTCAAAGGGAAGAGGGGCCGGTCATCAGTGTTGATGATCCAAGCACACTCCAGGGCTGATGATCCTGACCAGGGCTGTGAACTCATTTGCCTACGGAGGCCAACTCAGACCTTTGTGGCATAAGGCTAAGTGGGCTGATCTGGCCAAACATTTTCTTTTCTTTTTTTTTTTTGAGACAAGAGTCTTGCACTGTCGCCAGGCTGGAGTACAGTGGCACAATCTCAGCTCGCTGCAACCTCTGCCGGGTTCAAGCAATTTCCCTTCCTCAGCCTCCTGCGTAGCTGGGACTACAGGTGCTCGCCACCATGCCTGGCTAGTTTTTTGTTTTTTTTTTTTTTAGTAGAGACAGGGTGTCATCATGTTAGCCAGGATGGTCTCGATCTCCTGACTTCTTGATCCATCTGCCTCAGCCTCCCAAAGTGCTGGGATTACAGGCGTGAGCCAACGCGCCCGGCCGAAGCAAACATTTTCTAACAACATACAGTCTTTTGCTTATCTTTTGTTTTTCCATTTTTGATAGGGATATGACATGACAAATGTTGTACTCGCCTCAGCTCTGCCTGGAAGGAAAACAGCAACACAAGCGCAATATGAACGACCACTAAGCCCTTGGCCCCAGTTCTAGGGTGGTTGGGAGTGGTGGGGATTGTGGCAAAGGAAGCCTAGTCGACCTGTCTACAAACGGCAGCCCCCGGGACTCCAACACATCATTTCCACTTGGAAAGGCAGGCCCGGCATTTACTGCATCTTTTACATTTTCAAGAAAAGCCAGATATCTAGGTTTTAATGTGAAGCTGAATGATTTCCAATGGTTAACAATTAATTCCACATTACTAAAAATAGGCAGAGTGTGGTGACTCACACCTGTAATTCCAGCACTTTGGGAAGCTGTGGCAGGAGGATCACTTGATTTCGGGGGTTCAAGAACAGCCTGGGTGACACAGCAAGACCTCATCTCTACAAAAAGTTTTGAAATTAGCTGGGTGTGATGGCATGCGCCTGTGGTCACAGCTACAGGGGAGGCTGAGGTGGGAGGATTACTGGAGCCTGGGAGTTCAAGGCTGCACTGAGCTGTAATCACACCACTGCACTCCAGCCTGGGCAACAGAGACCTTGTCTCTAAAAAAAACTTTTCAATTTAATTTAATTTTCAAAAAATTACTGAAAATAGTATAGGCCAATTGACATACATACACCTCACATCAGACTTACTGGCCACTGGTTTGTGACAAAGTGGCTTTGTCCTCCACATTCCATACTGGAGGTCAAAAAGCCAAGCCAGAGAAGACAGGATGGCATGACCCTGGATGTGGCAGGAAGGGGAAAGGACAGAGAGGGCTTTGCCTCGAACGAAGGCTCTAAGCCCCAATGCTGAGCCCTGGCCTGAGCCAAGGTGGCTGCCCCGCCTCCGATACTCACTACTCCATGACGAGGGTGCAGCTGTGCTTGCTCTCAAAGGCGTCATAGAGCTGGATTAGGTTCACATGGCTGAGCTGGTTCATGATGTTGATCTCATTCTTCACATCCTCCTTGGGGAACCAGAGGACAGAGGGATTTCCAAGCAAATGGGTCAGGAATAGAAGCCCCCGGCACCTCCCAAGACAGAAACAGAACTGCTCATCCTTCCTCAGTTTCCTATTCTCATACCAGGTCTCCCTGACTCAACACCCAAATCAGACTCTATAACACAAAGGCCTTGGGTTTCCTGTCATCTCACAGACAGGAAACCCAAGGCCCAATAAGGACAGAACCTTCTTGCCCTGGGCTCCACCGGGTGGGGTGCCTGGACACCTGCGCATGGTGGGCGGGTCTGAACCAAGGGCTGTGAAGGGAACTTCCTGACTGGAGTGTGGAAATCCAGGAAAAGAGCAGGAAAAGTAGCATTTCCAGCTCAGCATGGGAACCTAGGAGGCCTGAGAGAAGGGAAGGAATCCTGAGGTTGGCCAGTGGGACCAGGCCTGGCCAGATGCCTCACCCGGTCCTTGGCACTCTTCACTTTGATGATCTTGGCAGCCAGTGGGAGGCCCGTGGATTTCTCTGTGCACCTGTGGACCTGGCCAAACCGGCCCCTGCGGAGACACAGCCACGCAGCAGGCTGAGAGCCAGAGGCTCACCCCACATCCATCCCTGGGCTTCTGGGCCAACTCCTCCACACACAGGCCATGTGGAACAGCCTACACCCCAGAATGCAGCCCATCACCACCCCATAACCCTGCTGCTATCCTGAAACTTACAAAGCAACTCTTCACCCCACACCACCCAGACCATTCTGTACCCCAGGGCACATACCCTAACCCCATACCAACAAGGCTATCTATCCTGAACCCCAGGGCACATCCCCTCACCCCACACCACCAGGCTTATCTATCCTGAACCCCAGGGAACATCCCCTCACCCCATACCACCTGGGTTATCTATCCTGAACCCCAGGGGAACATCCCCTCACCCCACACTACCAGGGCTATTTAACCTGAACCCCAGGGAACATCCCCTCACCCCACACCACCAGGGCTATCTATTCTAAACCTCAGGGAACATCCCCTCACCCCCACACCACCCAGGCCATCCTATACCCCAAGGAACATCTCCCACTTCACACCACCTGGGCCATCCTGCACCCTAAAGAACCTCCTCCTCACCCCACCCCATGTCAGCTCTCCGGCCACCACCAGGTTGTGCCTCCCACAACCACAGGGTACTCGCCCTCCCAAGCCTCCCCTCCCCAGTGCCACAGGGGATCTCATGTCCTCTCAGGCTTTTCTCTTTCTACCTCTCTGTGGGCCACCATGCACACCACTGTACAGGATGCCCCACCCCAGCCTTGGCTCCATCAGCCCGAGAGTCATCCTGCAGCATCCAGCCCAGTTCGCCAGATGATCCAGACCCTGTCCCATGGTTCCTGCTCTGAGTCCCTTCCCCCAGAAAGGCAGATGCTCACCTACCCTCCCAAGACTTCGTGCTGGCACACCTCGTAACCCGCCGAGATGGAGGTCTCCTTGACACTCACCACCCGATGTTCAAAAGGAGCTGGCGGGGCCGGACTGTCATCTGCTCAGGAGGCAATAGGGGCCTGTGAGCTTCCTCTGCACAGCTCACACCTCTCAGCCACCTGTGCCCGACCCATTTAGCTTCCCTTAGTCCACCAAACCCTTCATACAGCCCTGGTATTTGAAACCTTTCCCCAAAACCATCTCAGTGGAGCCACCGTTTGGCAGAGAAGGAAGCTGAATATCAGAGAGGTGAGGTGACCACCGAGGTCACACAGGGAGCACCTGACAGATGGCACTCAAACCTGGGTATCCCAGCACCCAGGGCAGTGCCCTTGGCAAAGCCGAGAAGTTCTATCCAATCTGTTCATGATGTCTAGAAGGCAATCCTAGTGGATCTATGTGGCTTGCAGGAAACAGAGGGCCCATGTGGACAGGATGATGGGGCAGTTAGTGACACCATTTTTAAAGGGATTGTTAAGTCAGGGCTGTGGAAACGCACAAGGGTGTAATGAGAGGGAGGCAGCTGGAGAAATAAATACCCACCCCCCTCTCTCCTCTCACCCTCCATCTCCTGCCAGCTGAGCCCAACCAGAAGCTCAGCATGACAGCCAGTGATGAAGCGGGGGCAGGTCCGGGGTCACAGGATTGGGGAGGGGGTGGGCAGGGGAACTGTCTGGAAGGGAAACAGAGGACAGCCAGCACTTGGAAAGGTTTTTTTTTTCATTTTTTGTTTTTAGGGTTGTTTTATTTTAATCTTGTCCTACAGAGGTGATAGGAATACCTAGAATTATTACAGGAAATAGACTAGATGGATAAAGCAGAATCTAGAACACACAGAAAGTGCAGTGGCATGAACTGGTGGTGCACTAAGGGCTAGAAGGCGCCATGGCAGGAAGTCGGCTCTGACTGGCGTCTGTTCAGGGCTTGACGTAGGATGACTCTGCCTGTTCTGCAACTACCAGGACCACTGGGAGTGGTCTGTGGACAATTCTCAGATCAAGGAGGTTGCAATCCTAGGGCTGGAGGGATTGAGGGCCTTTAGGTCACAAGAACACACCCTGGGTCACTAGCCCGAGTGGGTGGGAACAGCTGACAGTGGTCACAGACAGCAATTCATGTCTTTGCTTTTTAACAAAAGCCTTCTCTGTCTCAATCCAAAATGAGACTCATGGTGGCAAGCTCAGGCAGGCAGGTGGCAGTAAGTAATCTCCCCAGTGGCTGGGCACAGCGGCTCGTGTCTGTAATCCCAAAGCTCTGGAAGGCCGAGGGTAGAGAATCACTTGAACCCAGGTCAAGGCTGCAGGCCACTGCACTCCAGCCTGGGCAACAGAGTAAGACCCTGTCTCCAAGAAAAGAAATGTACCCAGGTGGGCCAACATGTTCCTTTTCCCTTACCCCTGCAGCCAGTCTGAGTTCAGGCCCTGAATCTCTGTGCCTTGGTCTACATCCAGGATGTACTAGAGATGTTCCCGACTCTTGGATGCTCCATATCCATAGGATCTACCCCTGGAAGCTACAAAAAGACTCCCCAGGAGTAGGGGGGGCTCCAAACTTCCCTCAGGGCTCATGTCTAGCCAAGCAACAGCCCCACTTACCCAGAACCATGCTGCCAGCCTCAGCATCCAGGGGTGTCCTCCTTACTGCTTCGGCTCTCCCTGGGGCCCTGGCTGCACAGTCCTCCCCAGGCTCAGGGTTTCCTGCTCCTGGGCCTTTGTCCTGCTGTATATCCAGGGCCCCAGTCGTGTGGTCGCTGTCATCCCTCCTAGCCAAGCTTGGTCCCATGCCAGGCTCGGCCCCAGCCCTTTGCTCCTCCTCTGCCTTCACTCCCCCGGGGCTGCTACTCTTCTGCAGCAGGGAGAGCTCTCTGGCTCCTTCGGGGGTCTGTTCTCTGGACTCAGTCCCAGGGGCTTGGAGGCAGTGCCTAGCCCCAGGTGGGCCCTGCCTGCCTGGCTGGGCAGCTGCTGGAGCCTCTGTGGCAGGAGTGGGTCCGAGGCTTCCCCTGAGTGTCACCAACATCTCCCCAGGAGTATCCATCTCTTGCGTGTGGATGGAGATCCTGGGGTGAGAGAAACAAGGCGCCAAGGTTAGAGGCAAGGACTCCAGAGTCAGAACAGACCTGGGTTCCAATGCCCATTGCTGCCATCACTGACAATGGCCCTGGGGCCCTGCCAGACAGGACACCAGGGCAGGGGCTGGCTTCAGTAGCAGTTAGTGCCATCAGCTCTCAGGATCCCACTGGACAAGGGTCCAGAGAAGCTTGAGGGTGGACAGGGATGAGGACCAGACACCCCTGAGAACCTGCTTCTGCCGCAGGAGGACTGAGGCCTGTAGATGGGAGACCTGGGTAGCTCTACCTTCCCCTGGGCCCAGTTTCCCTTTCACTTAAATGAAGAGAAGGAGAAACCAAGTCAAACATCACACTGGAAGCCCAGGTCAGAAGTATTTGTTTAAAATCAGTCAATTCCAGCTGGGCACAGTGGCTCACACCTGTAATCCCAGTGCATTAGGAGGCCAAGGTGGGAGGATCCCTTGAGGCCAGGAGTTTGAGACCAGCCTGGGCAACATGGTGAGATACCATCTCTACAAAAAAATAATTTAAAAAAACTTAGCCAGGAGTGGTGGCACCTTAGGTTCCACATACTTGGGAGGCTGAGGCAGGAGGATTGCTTAAACCCAGGAATTGGAGGCTACAGTGAGCTATGATCATACCACTGCACTCCAGTCTGGGTGACAGAGAAAGTGAGAGACTGTCTCAAAAATAAAATAAAATCAGGCAATTCTCATAGAAGACTAGATTTTCTGTTTCTCTTGAACAAATGTAAGAGCTGGCTGTGCTGGACCCACGTGCCCACGTGACTGAAGAACAGCTCTGCACCTCAGCACAGGCCCTGCACACCCTGGCAATTTCCCAGCTCACTTCACTCAGTTTCACTGCCCAGACCCTGCAGAACTGGGGTTTGTGAGCCCAGATGGAAGTGGGAAAGTCTCTCTGATCTCCGACCTCCTGAAGGAAGAATCCTGATCCTGGCAGCCACATCACCCAGGAATCCCAACCCTCCCTCTCTGAGTCTCCCCAGCTCTGGCTGCCTCTCAGTGGGGCTTCTTTCTGCTGGGCCACAATCCATAGCATGGGGTCTATGTGTGTTTTGGGGTAGGGTGATGGTGTCTGGCAGGGACTGAGTCTTGGCAGGGAGGCAGGTGGCCTCGATTCTGGGCTTAGCTCTGCCATCAGGTTGCTGGACAGCTTTGGGTAAGTCCAGCCTCAGTTCCCTCTTTTGTCATCAGGGACGGTGATACCTCACAGATGCGCCAAGTCAACCAAGAGAGGAAGGCATAAATGCAGGAGTTCAAAAGGCCTAAAATGGCACAACTGCTGTGGAAAACTGGAGGCTCTTCAGAAATTAAAAGTAGGATTACCGTATATTTCAGCAACTCTACTTCTGGGTTTATATCCCAGAGAATCCAAAGCAGGGTCTCCAAGAGATATCTTCACACTCATGACTGTAGCAGCATTACTCACAACAGCCAAAAGGTGGAAGCAACCCAAATGCCCAGTGACAGATGATGCATAGACAGAAGATGGTGTGCACATACCTCAAAACACTATTCAGCCTTAAAAAGGAAGGACATTCCGACACACACTACAGCGTCGATGGACCCTGGGGACACTGTACTCAGTGAAATGAGCCAGGCACAAAAAGACAAATCCTGCGGCTGGGCCCAGTGGCTCACATCTGTAATCCCAGTACTTTGGGAGGCCAAGGAGGATAGATCGCCTGAGGTCAGGAGTTTGAGACCAGACTGGCCAACATGGAGAAACCCCATCTTCACTAAAAATACAAAAATTAGCCAGGTGTGGTGGCATATGCCTATAGTCTCAGCTACTTGGGAGGCTGAGGCAGGAGAATCTCTTGAACCTGGGAAGTGGAGTTTGCAGTGAGCTGAGATCATGCCACTGTACTCCAGCCTGGGTGACAGAGCGAGGCTCTGTCTCAAAAAAAAAAAAAAAAAAAAGACAAATCCTGTATGATTCCACTGATATGAGGACCCTTGAACACTCAGATTCACAGAGATAGAAAGTACAATCATGGCTGTTAGGGGCTGAGGAGTGGGAGGTGTCATTTAGTGGATGATGAATCTCAGTTTTGTGAGATGAAAAGGTCCTGGAGATCTGTCTCACAACAACATGAATAAACTTAACACTACTGAGTTGTACACTTTAAAAAGGCTAAGATGGGGCTGGGCATTGTGGCTCAGACCTGTAATCCTAGCACTTTGGGAGGCTGAGGCAGGAGAATCACTTGAAGCCAGGCGTTTGAGACCAGCCTGAGCAACACGGTGGGACCCATCTCTACAAAAAAATAAAAAAGTAACCAGGCATGGTGGCACATGCTTGTAATCCCAGCTATATCGCAGGCTGAAGTGGGAGGATCACTTGAGCCCTGTAGGTGGAGGTTGCAGTGAGCCGAGATGGTACCACTGCACATGAGCCTGGGTGACAGAGTGAGACCCTGTCTCAAAAAAAAAAGTGGGGGGGGTGCTGAGATGTTAAATTTTGCATTACGTGGTTTTTATCCCAATTTTTACAAAGAAAATAGTGAGGCCCTTCTCCAGCAGCTGAAAGCCCCTCCTCATGTCTGAGCTGCTGGACCTCTATGACACATCTGTCCCTGGGTGCATCTGAAAGACTCATTGAGTGGGAGGTAGAAATTCTTCTAACACTGTGCCTTGGGACTGGGCATGGTTCGGTAATGACAGGTAGGAGGGAAGGTGTGGCATCTACGCCAAGCCACTCCAAATGTAGCTCAGGCCTCCTGCCAGACCAAGGGACATAGGAAACTGCTGCCAGCAATGGTCAGCAGAGAAGGCCAGCAGTCACGACTTCCCTTTGGGTCTTCACATCCAGAGGCATGGGGTGAACCCCCCCAAAGGCACTTCCAAGCAGCTCCTGCCACCTTGAGCACCCAAAGCTGTCCACTTGCTGTGCAGCAGACCCACGGCAGGAAGTACTGACCAGTTCCAGCTCAGGGCTGTCCAGCCCAGGCATGGCCTCAGCATCCCTTGGGTTTGTTTGTTGTTGTTTGAAATAGGGTCTCACTCTGTCTCCCAGGCCAGAGTGCAATGGTATGATCATAACTCACTACAGCCTCAACTTCCTGGGCTCAAGTGATCCTCCCACCTCAGCCTCGCCAGTAGCATGGATTATAGGTGCTTGCCACCACGTCCATGGTAGCCCAGTTAATTTTTGTAGAGATGGGGTCTTGCTTTGTTGCCCAGGCTGGCCTCAAGCTCCTGGGCTCAAGTGATCCTCCTGCCTTGACCTCTCACAGGGCTGGGATCACCAGCATGAGCCACAGCGCCCTGCAGGATCCTCTGCACAGGCAGCTACTGCCTGTCAAGAGCTGATGCTTGACTTCCAACCTATTTTCCGCAAAATACACCCATGTCCAAGGTGAGGAAGCACAGGTAGTGATCTCACTTCCTGAGGCCGCATCAGGTCTGCTGGGCCTGAAATTCAGCCAAGGGCTGAACCTGAGATAGAGAACTTTTCTTCTCTCTCAGAATCTTTCGTGGGCCCCTAACAACTTCATAGACAGTTCACCCCCAGCCCCAGATTCCACATTTAGGTCCTGGTTCCAATCCCAGGATGCCTGCCAAGAACCCCTCCCTCCAGCCTGTTAGGCCTCCTGGGGCTCCCATTTCCTTCTAGAACAAAGGCAGACAAATGATCTGGATTTCTCTGCTTGTCACCACAGCAAACAGACACCAGATCCACTCCCTGAGCCAGGCCTGCGGTCTCCGAGACAGGTCAGGGCCGCTGCGGGCAGGCGCAGGGAAGGTTGGGTAATACCAGGTCCCTCTGAGAGAAGCCTGGGGGCACAGTGCTCTTCAGTGGGGCCGCCCTGGGGACCAGATGTGCTGGGGAGGGCATGGGAGTCTGCAGGTTCTTGACTCTGCTACAGACATCTGCCAAGAGCAGGTCCTCAGGCTGCATCCTAGGGGCACGGCAGCTGCCACGACTCTGCCTCCGGGACTTCCGTGTGAGCCTCCTGAAAGTCCCCGGGACTAACTCAGCCTGCTCCCGCTTGCATTCCAGAGGGCCATGTCTTTCTCTCACCACCATATTATTTAGAACGTAATTAAATGCTGACTTGAGGAAGCAGGATGTGCAGTGATTGTGGCACCGGTTCTGGAATCCAGTAACCTGGATTAAGATCCTAACTCTATGAACTTCTAGCTGTGGGGCCCTCGGCACTAGGAGCCTAAGTGTCCTCATCATGAAATGGGGATGACAACCACATTCACTTCCTGGGGACGGCTAGAGAATAGAAGGTGAAGCCGGCAAAATGCCCGGCCAATGGCCAGCATGGGGGAGGTGCTCCGTGAGCCCCATCTTTTAGCTGCTGTTAGTACCAATCTAACAGCTAGTGATTCTCAACCTTGTTCCCAATTAGAATCACCTGTCAAAAAAATATAATTCCTGAGACTTGCTCCAGACCAGTCCAATCAACATCTTCAGGCATCTTTATTTTTCAAACTCCTTCCAGGTGCTTCTAGTGGGTGGCCAGTGAGCAGCAGTGTTCTAAGCTCCCAGAGGCAGGGCCCAGGCCTCTCCCTGTTCCCCTCGTGTGGCCAGCCAGGAACATGTACGCAGTGGATGCTGTCTGCAGCTGAGCTCCAGTGAGGGGCGGCAATCCATCCCCTCCCTCGCCCAGCCTGGAAGAGCTCTCCTTACCTTGGAGCTGTTTCTCCACTACTGTGGGCTGCCCTGGCCTTGGCTGGTGGCCCTGGAGGCCCTGGGCACTGGGGGCCGGGCCCTGGAGTCAGCCTCATGCCTTCCTCTAAGGGCTCAGGGTCAGGCCTGCTGGACGATGCTCCTTGTCCTGCACCTGGTGCAACCTCCAGGCTCGAGGAGACCACACTGACCCTGCCGGGTGCTGGAGCCAATTCCGGGCCAGTCCTGAGGTTCTCGCTGGATGTCTCAGGAGCCTTGGCTTCCAACTCTGTGGGCAGGTACAGGTGGCCAGGGAATGCCTGGCCTGGGCCAGAAATGCCATCTCCCTGGTCTGATGAGGCCCCTGCCTGGGCAGGGTCAGCTCCCAGCCCTGAAGCTCTGATGGGGGGCAGCCTCTCCACTGTCCCCTCCAGCACGTCCACCTTCTGGCTCTCTACAGGAAAACAGGCAGGACAAAAATACACTCCCATGTGGAGGAGTCTGCCACAAAGATACTGCAAGGAATCTGCACAAGCTGTTCAGTGCCCAGGTTTATAACAGCCAAAGACTGGAAACAACTCAGATGAAGGGGGCTGGTTGACTAAACCATGATGCATAGAAAATTAATATTTCTATGGAAGCCTGGGCAACACAGTGAAAGCCTGTCTTTACGAAAAAAAAAATGAGTTGGGCATGGTTGCATGTGCCTGCAATCCCAGTTACCTGGAAGCTGAGGCAGGAGGATCGATTGAGGCAGGAGGATTGATTGAGCACAGGAGATAGAGGCTGCAGTGCGCCATGTTCATGCCACTTGCACTCCAGCCTGGGCAACAGAGCGAGACCCTGTCTCAAAAAAAACAATCTCTAAGCACAGCTATGGAGTGATCTAATAAGGATATACTGCAAGTGGAAGAAAGCAAGGTGGAGAATGGTGTGTCTGGCGTCCTGTTTCTCTAAGAAGGGAGCAGGTGTGAGTGTGCACGTGTGCACATAACCACCAATCATGTTGTCTAGGCAGACTGGTCCTGAAGGCAAATAGAAGACAAAAGCTTTTTAAATAGTTACATGTGGGGGGAAGAAGCAGGGTGCATGGAACAAAGGTAGAAGATAATCTTCTCTTTTTATTTATTTATTTATTATTTTGAGACACAGTCTCACTCTTGTCACCCCAACTGCAGTGTACTGGCGTGATCTTGGCTCCCTGCAATCTCTGCCTCCCCGGTTCAAGCAATTCTCCTGCCTCAGCCTCCCGAGTACTTGGGTTTACAGGCATGTGCCACCATGCCTGGCTATTTTTTTTTTTGAGATGGAGTCTCACTCTGTAGCCCAGGCTGGAATGCAGTGGTGCGAGCTCAGCTCACTGCAACCTCTGCCTCTCGGGTCCTGGTTCAAGCAATTCTCCTACCTCAGCTGCCCAAGTAGCTGGGATTACGGGCATGAGCCACCATGCCTGGCTGCTAATTTTTATATTTTTAGTAGAGACAGGGTTTCACCATGTTGGCCAGGCTGTTCTAAAACTCCTGACCTCAGGTGATCCACCCATCTCAGCCTCCCAAAATGCTGGGATTACAGGTGTGAGCCACTGCACCTGGCCTCTTTTATTTTTAAATAAAATAAATTTTCGTAGCGATGGAGTCTCACTAAGTTGTTGCCCAGGCTGGTCTCAAACTCCTGAGCTCAAGTGATTCTCCTGCCTTGGCTTCCCAAATTGCTAGGATTACAGAAATGAACCACTGTACCTGGCCTCTAGACTTCTATTAATACACATTGTTTTGTCTATTTGACTTTGGAACCACACAAATATCATGCAAAATTATAAAAGAAAATTAAAGGTTAAAAAGTTAATCCATAAACATTTAAAGCATTTGAGTACCAAGTTGGTGGTGTAGCCTGCACAGAAAGGTACTACAGTTGACCCCTGAGAGACACAAGTTTGAACTGCACTGATTCACTTCCATGCAGATTTTCTTCCTGCTCTGCCGCCAAGACAGCAAGACCAACCCCTCACCTTCCTCGTCCTGCTCAGCCTACTCAATGTGAAAATGACAAGGATGAAGACTCACTTCCACTTAATGAATAGAGATATTTTATCTTCCTTGTGAATATCATAATTATATTTTCTTTTCTCTAGCTTACTCTCTTATAATAATATCTATCATATTTAATACCTAAAATAGTACAAGCACGTGTTAATCACTTATTTATGTTATCAGCAAGACTTCCAGTCGATAGTAAGCTATCAGTAGTTAAATTTTGGAAGAGTCAAAAATTATACTTGAATTTTCAACTGTTCAGGAAGTCAGTGCCCCTAACCCTGGAGTTGTTCAAGGGTCAACTGTGGTTTTGAAACATAGCAAGTTTTCAAAACTTCCATGCAGTCCAATGGCACAATCTCGTTTCACTAAAACCTCTGCCTGCCAGGGTTTTTTTTTTGTTTTTTGTTTTGTTTTGTTTTGAAAAACACAGTTTTCAAAACTGTGGTTTTGAAACATAGCAATTGATTATGTGTCTCTCGTGGGATATATATGACAAGAAAACCCGCGAAAACAAAAAAAAAGGAAGCTTCGACAGTTGCCTAGGAATCATTCTGTGGGCCATGTTCTTGGGCCCTTTATTCTGAAGCTGTTGTGTCTGCAGTGTTGGATAAAGCAAATGGGGTCCCACTCACCTTCCCCAGGCCCCCTGGCATCAGCCTGCAACCCCCTGGTGCTCAGCACATGCTTTGGTTTTGCTCCCTCCTCTTCCACTCGCTCTTTGTTCTAAAATAACAACCACAAAAAAATGTCATCATTATCATCAACACTGTCATTCAGACCACAGACATTTGTTGAGCACCTCCCGCCTGCTTAACATAAGGGCATGTAGGTTATTTCGCACAGTCTCACAGTAACATTGGAGAGTAGACACAATTATCACTTTAGAGAGGACGCTGAGCCCTTCCCAAGGTCATATAACTTAAAAGAGGAGGCGGCCAGCTTCACACCCAGAACCACCTCCTTTCCAGGGCTTCACCACATTCGCCAAAAGGGATGAACGCAGCCCTGAATACAGGGTTCAAAATAGGCTTGACCCCAAAGGGCTTAGACTAGAGATGGAAAATAATCGTTAAAAAAAATTTTTTTTGAGACAAGGTCTTGCTCTGTCACTCAGGCTGCATGCAGTCCAGTGGCACAATCTCGTTTCACTAAAACCTCTGCCTGCCAGGGTTTTTTTTGTTTTTTGTTTTGTTTTGTTTTGTTTTTTGAGACAGTTTCGCTCTGAAGCCCATGTTGGATACAGGCAAGTGATCTCGGCTCACTGAAACCTCTACTCCCAGGTTCAAGTGATTCTCCTGCCTCAGCCTCCCGAGTAATGGGTAGGGGACTACAAGCTTGGGACTACAAGCTTGTGCCACCACACCCAGCTAATTTTTGTTATTTTTAGTAGAGATGGGGTTTCACGATATTGGCCAAGCTGGTCTCAAATGCCTGACCTTGTGATCCTCCTACCTCAGCCTCCCAAGTACCTGGAACTACAGGTATGCGCCATCAGCTCTGGCAAATTTTTGTATTTTTAGTAGAGACAGGGTTTCATCATGTTGGCCAGACTGGTCTCAAAGTCCTGACCTCCTTGGCCTTGGCCCCCTACCTTGGCCTCCCAAAGTGCTGGGATTATAGGCGTGAGCCACCAGGCCCAACCTGAAAATAATCTAAAATGCCAACCCAGATCAACTGGTCATGGCTACTACAGCATTGGTTTTGGTTGAATTCTGAAGTCAAATCCATGCTCGGGATGTGTGCCTGGGAGCTGGGCTGGGGAATCTCACAGTCACCTCTTCACCAGTGTAGCAGTGTAGCCAGAGGCATGGACTCTGGAGCCAGCCATGCTGGGTTTGTACCCTATCTTCACCACTTGGCCAAGATCCTTAAATTATCTGCATCTCACTTTCCCCATCTGTAAAATGGGGATAATCATGCTATCAGCCTTGTAGAGTCAGTGGGAGAATTTGAGAGTAATGTGCAAATGTGTCCTGAGAAGTGTGCCCAGCACATAGTGGGTGCTCAATAGCTCTGCTGATTTTGTCCAGCTGGAAACCAAGAGCTTTTAGTGTTACATGAGCCCAGTGTAAGGACACTGGCCCAGGTAAGCTCTGAGCAACTTTTCCTTAATTCCAAATGATCCACACCAGACCAGTACCTGGCCTGCCCATGCTTTCACCCATGCAACAGCCCAGAGCCCTCAGTACACTCAGCTAGTCCATACTCAAGGAAATATTTCCAGATGGTCTGACCTGTTGCTGGGTTCCCATGTGAGGGTATGGTGCTTCTGGGGGTTTGGATCCTTTGGTGAAGTCCCTAAGACCAATCCTGGCACATATCATAGCAGCAGTGCTGACCACAACCCAGAGCCTGGCTTAAAGCACTCACCTATCCCAGGGCTTCTGTGGCCAAGGCAGGAGAGGCCCCTGTATCGGTGAGTGCCTAATGCCTGGGGGCCCAGCCAGGGCCTTCCCTGGACTTGCCACAGAAGCCCTTAATTAGAAAGAAGCCTAGAGGCCAAAAACAGCTCAGAACATATTTTGTTGGGCTTGCACTTCTTTTTTTTTTTTTTTTTTTTGAGACAGAGTCTCTCTCCATTGTTCAGACTGGAGTGCAGTGGTTGGATTGCAGCTCACTGCAGCCTCAACTTTCCAGGAGTAAGTGATCCTCCTACCTCAGCCTCAGGAGTAGCTGGGACTACAGGAACGTACTGCCACCTCCAGCTAATTCCTGTTGTTGTTTTATAGAGACAAGGTACTCACCTCGTTACTCTTGTTACTCAGGTTTAAATTTTTCAATTTGTTTGCAACTTTTAAAATCCATGAGATTTTTACTGTTAGGATCCCTTTTGGGGTAACATAATTGCTTCCTATTTTTACTGTGGTGATGGTGACAGGTGAAAATGTTTGTAAAGCTATATATTTAAAATGTGCATATGTGTGTATGTGGTTTATTATATGTAAATTCCATATTATGTAATTATTATAGCTTAATAAAACCTGCTAGAAAAGAAATCTAAGTTCCCAATTTTTATTAAAAAATCTGAAGATGGGCCGGCGCAGTGGCTCACACCTGTAATCCCAGCACTTTGGGAGGCCGAGGCAGGTGGATCACAAGGTCAAGAAATCAAGACCATCCTGGCCAACATGTTGAAACCGCATCTCTACTAAAATACAAAATTAGCTGGGCATGGTGGTGCACGCCTGTAGTCCCAGCTACTCGGGAGGCTGAGGCAGGAGAATTGCTTGAACCCAGGAGGTGGAGGTTGCAGTGAGCCAAGATCACGCCACTGCAGTCCAGCCTGCTGGCTGGTGACAGATCGAGACTCAAAAAAAAAAATCTGAAGATGGCTGGGCACAGTGGCTCACACCTGTAATCCCAGCACTTTTGGAGGCTGAGGCAGGTGGATCACCTGAGGTCAGGAGTTTAAGACCAGCCTGGCCAAGATGGTAAAACTCTGTCTCTACAAAAATTAGCCAGGTGTGGTGGCAGTCACCTGTAATTCCAGCTACTCAGGAGGCTGAGGCAGGGACAACTGCTTGAACCTGGGAGGTGGAGGTTGCAGTGAGCCGAGGTCGCACTGCTGCACTCCAGCCTGGGGTACAAAGTGAGACTCTGTCTCAACAAAACAAAACAAAACAAAAAATCTGAAGATCTTGCAACTCTAGGCCCAGATGGCAAAACTCGGCTAGGGCAGTCCCCTCTAAGTGGGGCACTACAGGTCTCACCTGTCCCAAATGTCTCCCCAACCCTAAGGTGCTGGTTCCACTGTTTGTCCACACCATTCCCACTCCTCTCAATTACTACCTACTCATTGCTTTGCGATTCTAGGACACCAAGCTTTGACCTCTGAATGATAAGGACACAGCGCATAGTGAACACACAGCCCAGCACCTGCCGTGGGGGAGGCACTTCTTCAAAAATGCTTGCTGCTGCTGTCACAGTGACCGCCAGCATCATCAATGCGGCCCAGATCCCCTGCTGGGCAGATGGCTTCCCGTTATCCTTCTGCAGGCTTTGTCCTGCTGCCCCCGGAACTGGGGGAACTGGAGGCATGAAACACACCTCCTCTTCTTTCACCCACTGGCAGAAAGGGACTTGGACAGACTGTCCTTTGGCAGACCTTGCTGGGCTCAAACTGTCCTCTCCCTCTCCTATCTTTAGGGTAGGCAGGAGAATATGTGTGCACCCCCCACCCTCAGCTGGGTTCTGTCTTCAGGGCTCCACCTGCTAGTCCCTGCCAAGTCTATGCTAATTCACACACCATTCTAGAGTACTGGTGCCTCTGAACACATACGCCTGGGGCTGTTTTCCAGTAGAGAGCACCTGGCTTCCAGGGATCATTAAATTCACTTCTGGAACCAAATGAAGTGCCGCTGGGCACTTCTGAAGATCTCAGGAGGACCTTCACAAAGTCCTGGCACAATTTTCAAATTTGACCACCAGTGCTAGGATTTAATTCCATTCCACAGATGGTTGCCATGCCCCACTCTCCCAGGAAACACACAGAATCCCCAAGAAGCCTCCATAATGCACGGTGTTCAGCACTGACCATGTGTGTGGCAGCTGTGTCTATGTCTCAGTTCACTGTTCATTCTCTGAGCACTTCCTGCAAAACTTGCCCTGGCCTCAGAACATGGAGGGAAGAAGAGTCTTCCTGTCATGGGCCAATCAGCAGTCGAGAAAGCCTGATTGGGACACTGGACCAAATCTGAAGACCTTCCTAACATGGATATTAAATGCAGGACCAAGGAGAGATCTAGCAAGTGCCAGTGGGGCAGGACAGACAGGAAACAGCACAAGAACTCAGAAAAGAGAATGTTCTATGACTTCCCTTACTCAGAAATGCCTTCATGCGACATGTATAACAGCTAATTTCATTAATACATGAAGCCCTCTTACAAATCAATAAGAAAAAGGCAAAAAAAAAAAAAAAAAATAAAAAAGATGGGAAAAGATGTGAGCAGGCAGTTCACAGAAAATATAAAAGGTTTCAAACCTGTGTGTGAATGTTCAGTCTTCTAGTAAGAGTATATAAATCAAAACTACGAGACATATTACTCTACCTTTGGTTATATTTGAAATTTTCCATAACGAAAACCTAAAGTTTTTTCATAAATTCAAAAGGTTAGCTTTAACAGATACATAACTAATTGTCTTACTTGAGTCTGATGCAACTAAACTGTAAAAAAAATTTTTTTTGAGATGGAGTCTCTCTCTGTTGCCTAGGCTGGAGTGCAGTGGCATGATCTCGGCTCACTGCAACCTCCACCTCCTGGGTTCAAGCAATTCTTCTGCCTCAGCCTCTGAGTAGCTGAAATTACAGGCACACACCACTATGCCCAGCTAATTTTTGTTTTTTAGTAGGATGGGGTTTCACCATATTGGCCAGGCTAGTCTTGAACTCCTGACCTCATGATCTGCCTGCCTGAGCCTTCCAAAGTGCTGGGATTACATGTGTGAGCCATCTCACCTGGTTTTTTTTTTTTTTTTTTTTTTTTTTTTTTTGATGCAGTTTGCAGCTGGGCGCGGTGGCTCACGGCTATAATCCCAGCACTTTGGGAGGCCAAGGTGGGTGGATCATGAGGTCAGGAGTTCAAGACCAGCCCAGCCAAGATGGTGAAACCCCGTCTATACTAAAAATACAAAAATTAATTGAGTGTGGTGGTGGGCACCTGTAATCCCAGCTACCAGGGAGGCTGAGGCAGAGAAATGCTTGAACCTGGGAGGCGGAGGTTGCAGTGAGCTGAGATTGCATCACTGCACTCCAACCTGGGTAACAGAGTGAGACTGTCTCAAAAAAAAAAAAAGATGCAGTTTGTGTTCTTGTTGCCCAGGCTAGAGTGTGGTGGCACAATCTTGGCTCACTGCAACCTCCAACCTCCCAGGTTCAAGCAATTCTCCTGCCTCAGCCTCCGAGTAGCTGGCATTACAGTTATGTGCCACCATGCCCGGCTAATTTTTGTATTTTTATTAGAGACAGGGTTTCAGCATGTTAGCCAGGCTGGTCTCAAACTCCTGACCTCAGGTGATCCCCCTGCTTTGGTCTCCCAAAGTGCTGAGATTAAGGCCTGAGCCACTGTGCCCAGCTGTGGCTAAACATTTTTAAATATGTTTAAAGTATAAGATAATCAGAAAAATTTGAACACTGAACTTCAATAATATTAAAAAGTTATCATTCGGCCCAGTGCAGTGGTTCATGCCTATAATCCCAACACTTGAGGAGGCTGAGGCAGGAAAATTGCTTGAATCCAGGAGTTCAAGATCAACCTGGGCAACATAGTGAGACCCTGTCTCTATAAATAAAGAAATAAAGTTATTCACTTTTTTAGGTGTGATGATAGTATCAAGATTATGTTTTTTAAACAACCCCATCAAAAAGTGGGCAAAAGATATGAACAGACACTTTTCAAAAAGAAGACATTTATGTGGCCAACAAACATGAAAAAATGCTCATCATCACTGGTCATTAGAGAAATGCAAATCAAAACCACATTGAGATACCATCTCACACCAGTTAGAATGGCGATTATTAAAAAATCTGGAGATAACAGATGCTGGAGAGAATGTGGAGAAACAGGAACACTTTTACACTGCTGGTGGGAGTGTAAATTAGTTCAACCATTGTGGAAGACAGTGTGGCGATTCCCTAAGAATCTAGAAACAGAAATACCATTTGACCCAGCAATCCCATTACTGGGTATATACCGAAAGAATTATAAACCATTCTATTATAAAGACACATGCACACGTATGTTCATTGTGGCACTATTTACAATAGCAAAGACTTAGAACTAACCCAAATGCACATCAACAACAGACTGGATAAAGAAAATGTGGCACATATACACCAAGGAATATTATGCAATTATAAAAAAGGATGAGTTCATGTAATTTGCAGGGACATGGATGAACCTGGAAACCATCATTCTCAGCAAACTGACAGAAGAATAGAAAACCAAACACCACATGTTCTCACCCATAAGTGAATGTTGAACAATGAGAAGACATGGACACAGGGAGGGGAACATCACATGCTAGGATCTATTGTGGAGTAGGGATAGGGGAGGGATAGCAGGGGGTGGGGAGATTGGGGAGGGATAACATTAGGAGAAATACCTAAAGTAGGTGACAGGCGGATGGAGGCAGCAAAACACTATGGCATGTGTCTACCTATGTAACAGTCCTGGAAGATCTGCACATGTACCCAGAACTTAAAGGAAAATAAAAATAAATAAATAAATAATGTTTTTTAAAACAGCCCTTATCTTTGAGTTATAAATACTAAAATATTTAAGAAAGAAATGATCCAACATCTCAGATTTGCTTAAAATAATCTGAAGGGAGAAGTGGGTGGGGAAAAGAGAGAACAAACAGTGCACAATAATTTCCCATTTTCATTCACCAGACAGGCAAAGAATCAAAAGCATTCCCATACCTTGAAGGTAGGAGACTGATTTGGGGTAACTTCTTTGAAGGCTGCTTTGCCTTTATCTGTATAAATTTACCATTTGGGTTGGCATTTCCACTGCCAGGAGTGTATCATGCAGATAAATTCACACTTGTGTTCAGTGACATACATCTATGGATATGCACTGAATCATTAGTTATAGTTACTAAAAATGAGAAACAATAGAAACAAATGAGGATCTGGGTCTGGTTAAGAACTGAAGACATGGGCCCCAGAAGGGAATCTCAGAATATATTTATAACAATGTGAACATCAATCAGTACCCAAAATATATTAAGTAAAAAATTATAAATCAAGGCCAGAACAATGTAAATAACATATGAGTTAAAACAATTCTGCCGGGAGTGGTGGCTTACACATATAATCCCAGCACTTTGGGAGACCGAAGCAGGCAGATCACTTGAGGTCAGGAGTTCAAGACCAGCCTGACTAATACAGTGAAATCCTGTCTATACCAAAACTACAAAAATTAGCCGGGTGTGGTGGTCTGTGCCTATAATTCCAGCTACTCGGGAGGCTGAGACTGGAGAATTGCTTGAACCTGGGAGGAGGAGGTTGCAGTCAGTCAAGACTGTGCCAACGCACTCCAGCCTGGGTGACAGAACCAGACTCCATCTCAAAAACAAAATGAAAACAACTAAGCAATTCTGGTGATACAGACTGTAGAAAAAAAACAAAAACAAAAACATAAGCGTGGTGTGGATACCAAGGTGCTTGTAGACACAGCCTCTATCTGGAAGAATTCAAAGGAAATCAGAATCCACCCTTGCCTGGGAGAGGCAGGGCATTGGTGTCTGGGGTCTGGGGGGATGGAATAGGAAGGAGACGTATGCTCTTTAAGTGATTTTTTTTACCATGTACATACTAATTTTTTTAAAGCTATTGATTAGATCTATTTTATAACTTAATAGTTGTGACTATATCTGCCGGGGATTGGTTCCTGGGCTCTGTCTATACCAAAATCTATGGCTGCTCAAGTCTCTGATATAAAATGTCATGGTATTTGCATGTAACCTACACACATCCTTCCATATACATTAAATCATCTCCAGATTACTTATAAAACCTAATACAATGTAGATGCTATCTGAATAGTTGTCACACTATTGTGTAACAACTGTGTTATTACTTAGAGAATAATGATGAGAAAGAAAAACTTGTGCATGCTCAGTACGGACACACAATCATAGCCCTAACTACATTTTGATCTGAGAGCCAACTATAATTAGATTAATATCCTTTTTTTATTTTTTTGAAGAGACAGGGCCTCACTCTGGCCCAGGCTAGAGTGCACTGGCACAAACATAGCTCACTGTAGCCTCCATTTCCAGGACTCAAGTGATTCTCCCACTTCAGCCTCCCAAGTAGCTGGGACTACAGGTATGTGCCACAATGCCTGGCTAATTTTTTAATTAATTTTTTGTAGAGACAGAATTTTACTATGTTGCCCAGGCTGGTCTCAAACTCCTGGCCTCAAGCAGTCCTCCCCATCGGCCTCTTAAAGCACCAGGATTATAGGCATGAGCCACTGTACCCAGCCTAATTTTCTTTTTCAAAGCTGGGCTTGGTTAGGGTCACACTGCCCTGCAGGCCAAGCCCTCAGGAGAGGCACCCTGCAGACAGCAGACAGCGGGGGGCTGGGGAGAGGAGCAACTCTGGGAGAAGCTGCAGGGCAGGGAGGGGAAGGGGCAGCAGGGGAGCTCTGGCCTTGTGGGAAAGGTGGCATGCTCCTGTCCTTAGCAGCTGACACAGAGTCAAGCACAGACCCCTTTAGACCCCAGCTCATCTCTTGCCAGAGGCTGGCGAGTCACTGCAGGGGTCTGAAATGGTGGCTCCAGTCTGTCTGAGTGTTGCCAAGTGGCTGACCCCTAGCTGTCCCCAAACAGGGTGATCCCTCTACAGGCCTCACCCCCATATCCTTCTCCCAGCAGCCAAGCTTCCATTAGCCCACAGGATTAAGTATGCAACTCTTGGGAACAGCCGCTCCCAAGAATGCCACCCTCCACCTCCAAGCTCCGGCTCCTGCCTGCTGTCCCCCGGGTCACTGTCAACACTCATCTCCCCACAGGCAGCTGCACTCTCCACCCACTCTGGGGCTAAGCCCAAGGTTGGGGACAGGAGGGGGTGGGTGGGTTTCTGAGCAGGGTTCCATCAGGACAGACCAGCCACTCCTGCCTGCCCCCCCCCCACATGTGAAGGAGCAGAAGGGTGGCCACAGGGGTGTCAAAGAAGCGTGCTGGTTCCCTCTTCTGAACTGTCAGCATGTCCCCCATGGCTGGGTTCCCTGGAGCTACCAAGGCCCCGCAGTCTTGGCCAGGGCCCTGTTTCTTCCCTCCCCTGGAAAGAATGGCAGGCAGTATCCTGCCTGGAAATCCACCTATGACCTGTAAGTTTCTGGCTCTCTTTTTCCCCATCAACAGGTCACACAGGAAGGGGATACCATGCCTCCAGCTCTCCGAACACTGGCTGCCTGGCCAGTCTCCCACCAGGGCCGGGGCCTCCCGTCCAGCCAGGGCAGGGAAGCAGGAACCAACCTCCTCGGGGCTGTCACCTGGGCTGCTTCTCCAGGGGACACACCCCTGCATAAGGAAATCCGCCACCTTCGATTTCTGGAACGTGGCTCCCACCAAAGCGATGGCCCTGTCCACCGCAGCCACCATCCTGAAGAGGGCCTCCAGCCTGGTGCCATGCTGGGCTGCATCCTGCTGCATGGCCCTCACCAACTCCAGGACCTCGGGCCACCCAGCCTGGGTGTTAGCCAGGGGAGCCCCATCAGCCCCGGCCAGGCCCGGAGCCTGGGAGGCCTCCAGCCTGTGCAGGCCCCGCTCCAGGCGGCTCATGTCTCGGCACATGCACTGCAGCTTCTCTGTGACATCTTCTTGGAAATGCAGGAGCTGGTCCACCTTCTCGTTCAACAGGTTCAGCTTTTGGTCCGTGGTGGTTAAGCAGGCCTTGCCCAGCCCTGGCAGCCCCAGACTCTCCTTAGAGGTCCCTGACATCCTGGTGCAGGCTTGACCAGGGTAAGAGCAGAGGATAAGGAGGCACAGACCCCTGGTTCTCACTCAGGCGGTGGTGTCTGCAAGGTCATTATCCTCGGTAGCTGACAGCCTCCCAGCAGCACCAGGCCCTGCGATGGCCCAGGCATGTGGGGAGTGCAGAGGCCCCGGGTTCTCCCTGTGCCTTCACTTTGCTTATCTCCCACCCTCCTCTGGCTGTGAGTGACAGGCCAAGGTCAGCCCAGGCCCTTCTCCTTGGGGCCCGTTTGACATCACGGCAGCATTTGACATTCCTCTCTGAGAGGCTGCTGATGAGCAAGTATGTTAAGAATCTGCCCAGAGCAGGCCGGGTTCATGCAAGGAACGGTTCCGAGGAAAGGAAAGGGTCCTTTGGAGAATGGCACCTGCCTGCTGGACTCCAGAGGGATCTCTGGCGGAGAAAGGCCCTTAGAGGCCCGGAGACCTGAGGCCACACAATGTCAGTCACAATAAAAAGCAAGACTGAGACAGGAAGGAATGTGAGACCACTCAGCAAAATACTGACTTTTGCCATGATGAAAATGTTGATGCTTCTGCAAATTTAAAATAAATTTCAGGCGCCCCTACTATGCCAGCATTCAGAACATGTGCTCAGACTGTCTGTGGGGTGGCCCGCTGGTCCCTCCCCACCAGGCCCCTCAGTCATTTGTCACTTGTACCTAAAAACAGAATCGAGGGCAATTGCCCCTGCTACCTGCTAAGCACTGTCCCGAGGGCCATGTTTCTCAAAGAGCCTTCAGGGAGACACCAGAGACACCTGCTCCCCCCCACCCCCGCCAATAACAACTACATAGGTATCAGACTTGCAATTTCCACACTGAAACAGACTCAGCAGGGACCCACAGTGCAACAGGCCTGTGTTTCCCGGAGTTTAAAAATGTTTTCGCCTCAGAAGCCCTTGGTTCAAATAAAACATTTTACGGAAGCATCAGTCAATAAAGTAGAAGCAAGCAGAGATGCTCAGGTTACCCCCCTGAGGTAGGGCACAGGAGCCCCTCAAAGTCCCAAGGATGCCACAGAGCAGTCTGACTTACACCGTTTCCATCCAGCTCCCCACAGGCAGAAGGCAATGTCCAGAGAGGGGCATTTGCCTAAGGTGGCCCAGACAGGCACACGACCTCCTGAGGATGGTCCAGCCAAGGGTAGGGCTGCCCCCAAGGGAGGGGGCTTTAGTGTCTTCTCAAGCTTCCCCCTTCTGAATAAAAGCAATTATAATAAAGTTGGACCTGGAAATTTGGAATCCAAAAGCACTGTTAGGGCCAGGTGTGGTGGCTCACATCTGTAATCCTAACACTTTGGCAGGTGGATTTCTTGTTCCCAGGTGTTTGAGACCAGCCTGGGTAACATGGCAAGACCTGGTCTCTACAAAAAATTAGCCAGGTGAGGTAGCACACACCTGTGGTCCCAGCTACTCAGGAGTCTGAGGTAGACTGCAGTGAGCTCTGATCCTGCCACTGCATGCCAGCCTGGGCAACAGAATGAGACCCTGTCTTTAAAATAAATAAATACACAAAAGTACCATTAGAGGTTTGCTGTGTTAAACCATTAACCTATCAATGCAACGAGCTTACTATGCAAATGCAGCTTGACCAGTCTTCTCTACCTACCCCTCTCTCCCGATTGCTGACCCTGGGAAGCCCACAGAGAAATCCAAACCCATTCCTGGGAGCACAGCTCTGAGTCCCTGAGTGGTGTTGGTGCAATGACCCAGAACATGCTAGAAAGAGTAGGGTCTGTTATATTTACTGCCGCTCAAAACAGACACACAAAGTCTACCTGGAAAAGGAAATTTGAGGGGTAATCCTGTGCTCCAGCCCCTCTAGGGGATTCACCATGCACCTCAGAAGGACCTCATCTACCTCAGAAGACTCCCCCATCCGACCAGGACAGCAGGTTCTCCCGACACCTCACACCTAGCACTTCCCTGTAGATGCAGGCTCCCTAGGCCAACCTTTGGGAAATGGCTGCCTAGAGGTCTCTAGAAGTCTAACACACCCAGCCCAACCCTGTGTCTCTTCCCCAGTTGGTGCCCATAATTTTTGTGGAATAAAGTTCCCAAAAGACAAGAGAAGAAGACCCTGGTCTCTGGAGGAGAGACTTCATTATTGCCACTACTGTGGAGATCTCTGGAGAACCATCCAGGCAAGTCCTGGATAACCAGAAAGGGCTGGGCGTGGTGGCTCATGCCTGTAATCCCAGCACTTTGGGAGGCCAAGGTAGGTGGATCACAATGTCAAGAGATTGAAACCATTCTGGCCAACATGGTGAAACCCCATCTCTACTGAAAATACAAAATTTAGCTGGGTGTGGTGGTGCACACCTATAGTCCCAGCTACTTGAGAGGCTGAGACAGGAGAATCGCTGGAACCCAGGAGTCCAAGGTTGCAGTGAGCCGAGATCAGGGCCACTGCACTCCAGCCTGGCAACATAGCGAGACTCCATCTCAAAAATAAATAAATAAATAAATAAATAATATATAAAGCAAGCCAGAAAGATAACTTCAAAGTCTACATGAATCCAGAGAAAACTACCAAATACCCCAGACATGTAGCTACATCAAAAGTGAATTATCTGAGGCTAGGTGCGGTAGCTTATGCCTATAATCCCAGCATTTTGGGAGGCTGAGGAAGGTGGATCACCTGAGGTCAGGAGTTTGAGATCAGCCTGGCCAACATGGTGAAACCCCATCTCTACTAAAAATACAAAAATTAGCAGGATGTGGCAGTGCACACCTGTAATCCCAGCTACTCGGGAGGCTGGGACAGGATAATCAAGATAATGTCACTGTACTCCAGCCTGGGTGACAGAGCGAGACTCTGTCTCAAAAAAAAAAAAATTATCCAAATTACAAAGGGATTTGTCAAGTCTCCATTAAGCAACAAGTTTACAAGGTAGCTCATCTGCTAAGAAGGTGGCTGTGGCTGGAAACTCTCTGAGGGCAGACTACCCTCTTGGGCTTGGCCTGCATCCCCAGAGGCACCAGCCGCCTGGCACATAGGCAGGTGTTCAACATAGAGCCAAGGAGGTGGCCGCAGGGGGCTGATTGGACCATCCTGAGACTTCTGTGGAAGGAGGAGGCAGGAGCTTCCCCAAACCATTGAAGTGAGCACTGGGGGAAACCCTGACAATCCTGGAAGGGAGCTCCGGGGCCCTCTGGGAAAAAGTCCAGAACACAGGTTCCTAGGGCCTCTCTGGTGGAAAGGAGTAGCCAGAAGGACCAGCTTTAACCCCTTTCCTTCTCAGCTTTAGGAGAAATGAGTTTGAAGAACATGGATTTCCTGTGGGGATTCGTGGCTTCTCTCCAACTCTCCCTGATGCACAGGACACAGCAGAGGGCTTGGCCAGTTTTTGGATGATGGTGCTTGCCTAGAGGATGGGGAGGCATTGACCTGCCCGAGCCAAGAGAACCAAGACCAGAGAAGAGGCAGTTAAACTGGATGGACAGAGCAGCAAATACCATAACCCCTTGTCTTTCCTGGGTAAGGACAGGGCTGTGGATCCTCTGCCGGAAAAAGACAGGCTGACCTCTATTCACCCTAGGGTGGGGCCAGCATGCACTAAACCCTGAGACTCTTCCCTGGACTTCTGGTGACCTAACAGTCTCAGAGATCGTGGGGTGAGAGAGATTTCAACACCCTCATTTTATTTTATTTTTTTCTTTTTCTGAGATAGGTTCTTGGTCTGTTGCCTAGGCTGAAATGCAGTGGCACAGCCACAGCTCACTGCAACCAGGAACTTCTAGGCTCAAGCAATCCTCCTGCATCAGCCTCCTGCATAACTGGGATTACAGGTGCATGCCCCCCACATCCAGCTAATTTTTAATTTTTTAAAAAATGTCATCACCCAGGGCCAGGCACGGTGGCTCACGCCTGTAATCCCAGGACTTTGGGAGGCCGAGGTGGGCAGATCACAGGGTCAAGAGATCAAGACCACCCTGGCCAACACAGTGAAACCCCATCTCTACTAAAAATACAAAACAATTAGCCAGGCGTGGTCGCACGAGCCTGTGGTCTCAGCTACTCGGAAAGCTGAGACGGAAGAATCGCTTGAACCTAGGAGGCGGAAGTTGCAGTGAGCCAAGATTTCACCACTGCACTCCAGCCTGGTGACAGAGCAAGACTCCATCTAAAAAAAATAAAAAAATTTCATCACCCAGGTATTAAGTCTAGTACCCATTAATTTATACAACAAGCCCTCACGACACAAGTTTACTTATGTAACAAACTTGCACGTGTACCCCTGAAATAAAAATAAAAGTTAAAAAAAAGACTTTCCTGTAGAGATAAGTTCTTTCAATATCTTTCCAGGCTTTACTAACCCAGGACAGTGGTGGCTCACACCTGTAATCCCAGCACTTTGGGAGGCTGAGGCAGGAGGATCACTTGAGCCCACGAGTTCAAGACCAGCCTGGGCAACATAGCAAACCCCCATCTCTACAAAAGAACATCCATGTATATACTAGCCAGGCATGGTGGCATGTGCCTGTTGTCCCAGTTATCTGGATACTGAGGCAGAAGGATCTCTTGAACTTGGGAGGTTGAGGCAGCAGTGAGCATGATGGTGTCTCCAACCTGGACCACAGAAGGAGACCCTGCCTCAAAAATAAAATAAAATGATACTAAGACTCTGACTCAAGTTGAAAGACTGACCTCTCGTATTTCCCCCCTTCCCTTCCAGAGACTTCACGGTAAAGGAAGAAAATAAATACACACCCTCAATGATGAACAGAATGGAAGGGGGGCCATTGGTGAATGAGTGTTATCAATGAATTTCTGGAAGATGGATAGCAGGTGGAGGAACAGTAACTGGAGAAATAAGAAAGAGAAAACTGTAGCTTCACTGGCCGCAATGGCAAATACAGATCATACACGGAGCCACCTTTCCCTGTAGGACCCCCGAGAGGCTTCGGACCCCAAGACCCCTGGTGGGGTAAACAGGGAGCATAAATGCAAGACTGAAGAGCCTGTCCCTATGGCAGCCCCTCTCCTGTCCCACACCACGGCACAGAAGGGCCTGGCCAGGCCCACCCTCCCTGGAGATCAGAGCCTGTTTCTGGAGAAATGCGATGGTCCGCAGCACAAGAGTTCTATATGCTGGCTTTTGGGGTTCCTTAGGAGTGCCCCACCAGATCATCCTCAACAAAGCCACGCAGCTAACAAGCCTCAACCACCCACCCAGCTGTTAGTACCTTCTTCAGAAATATGCCCAGACAAAAAGGATCATTGGGTGTTCAAAGAAAGCCTTCACGATGAAAAGGGAAGACTAAAGCAAATAAACAGAAACATGATCAAAGAAGAAACAAAGAAAATGAAAAACAGTTTCAAAAAGGCTGTCATTTGGCGGGGTGAGGTGGCTCACACCTATAATCACAGCACTTTAGGAGGCCAAGGCAGGAGGCTTGATTGAGCCCAAGAATTTGAGGCCAGCCTGGAAAATATAGGGAGACCCTCTCTCTACAAAAAAAAAAAAATTTTTTTTAATTAGCTGGGCATGGTGGCGTGTGCCTGAAGTTCCAGCTATTTGGGAAGCTGAGGCAACAAGATCGTTTAAGCCCAGGAGGCAGAGGCTACAGCGAGCTATGTTTGTGCCACTGCACTCGAATCAGGGCAACAGGGCGAGAGACCCTGTCTCAAAAAACAAACAAACAAGGATGCCATTTGAAGCCACAGAAAAGTGTGCAAGGCTATTCCATTCTTTAAAAAAGGAGAGGATGCTGGCCAGGTGTGGTGGGATCACACCTGTAATCCCAGCACTTTGAGAGGCCTAGGTGGGTGGATTGCCTGAGGTCAGGAGTTCAAGACCAGCTTGGATAACATGGAGAAACCCCGTCTCTGGTAAAAATACAAAAATTAGCCAGGCATGGTAGTACATACCTGTAATCCCAAAAATTAGCCAGGCATGGTAGCACATGCCTATAATCCCAAAAATTAGCCAGGCATGGTAGCACATGCCTGTAATCCCAATAGCTCAGAGGCTGAGGCAGGAGAATAGCTTGGACCCGGGAGGCAGAGGTTGCGGTGAACCAAGATCTCACCATTACACTCCAGCCTGGGCAACAAGAACAAAACTCTATCTCAAAAAAAAAAAAAAAAAGTGTGTATACACACACACACACGTGTGTGTGAATAATAAAATTTAAAAATTCAATATAGGGATTAGAAAATGAAGCTAAGATAATGTCTCAGAAAATAAAACTGAAAGATGAAGCCATGTGCATGACAGAAAGCTGTTCGATGACTCCAGTTGGCCTCACATCCAATTAACTAGAGTAAGAGAAATGAAAAAAGGAAGGACTTTATCAAAGAAATACTACAGTCATTATGCAATTTTAGAACACAGGGATAAAGAGAACATTATAAAAGCTCCCTGAAATTTAAAACCAAAACCACATACTTGTGAGAATTTGCCCCCTTCAAAATTCATGTCGAAATTTAACTGCAATGTGGCAATATTGAGAGGTGAGGCCTTTAAGAAGCAAGTGGATCATGAGGGCCCTGCCCTTCTGGGTTAATGGATGAATGGGTTATCATGGGACTGGGCCTGGTGGTTTCACAAGAGAAGGAAGAGAGACCTGAGGGAGCACACTCAGTCCCTTCCTTATGGGATGCCCTAGGCCACCTCTGGACTCTACAGAGAGGGCCCACCAGCAAGGAGGCCCTCACCAGATGCAGCCTCCCTTGAACTTCTCAGCCTCCATAACTAAAGAAAGACGTTCCTTTTGTTTACATTCAGGTATTTCTGAAAATAGACTACTACACATACCAAAGAAGTAGAATAAGAATGACATCAAACTTCTTACCCTAAAAACAACTGGATGCCGGAAGAGAGGCTGGATGTCAAACTCTAGCTAGGAAAGCTCTTCCCCTTAGAATCTTGAAGACACTGCACCACCATCAGAGAACAAAATGAAGGGTTTTATGATTTGCAACAATGCAAGAAATTCATACACCTTTTTTTGGGGGGGGGGTTTTCTTTTGAGACAAGATCTCATTCTGCCACCCCGGCTGGAGTACAGTGGCGCGATCTCGGCTCACTGCTGCCTCAACCTCCTGGGCTCAAGCAATCCTCCACCTTAGCCTCCCAAGTAGCCAGGACTATAAGCATGTGCCACCATGCTCGGCTAATTTTTGTGGATTTTTTTTGTAGAGACAGGGTTTTGCCATGTTGCCAAGGCTGTTTTCAAACTCCTGGGTGCAAACAATCCACCTGTCTCAGCCTACCAAAGTGCTGGGATTATAGTCTTGAGCGACCACACCTGACCCATGCACCCTTTTTAAGGAACCTGCTTTGAGGATATACTCCAGCAAAATGAGGGAGTAAACAGCCTGGCCAACATGATAAAACCCGATCTTTACTAAAAATACAAAAAAAAAAAAAATAGCCAGGCATGGTGGTGGTTGCCTGTAATCTACTCTGGAGGC